TTTTCATTTAATACCTGATAAGTTCAGTTCGTTCTTTCTCCCATTACTCTCATTTGCTCTTGAGGTAGGCCTACAATCTGACTTTCACTGCAACCATCGCAGGGGAAAAAAAAATTCCCTCTTAAAAGTCACAACTTCTTTGCTCTAAAAGCCAATGGGCTTGCATTTATTTACACTTTCTTTGATTGTGAAAGGTATTATTAACTATTCCATTCCCTATAATGTATTGCTTCCCTTATTTCTGTTTCTTCAATTTCATCTTCTTTTCTACTGATCTTTTTCTTTACTTCCACCCATGAATAATAGCAGTTTCCTAAGGCATTGATGCTCTCTATGTATAGGATTATACTGCCACTTTTGGTGGTGGGATTAAGGTGATTGTTAAATCCCTAACTACAATGAAATAATGTCAGCTGTGTAACTAACACTGTCTACGTCTTCGGAATCTCTCTATAATGAAAATAGTAAATATTGATTTGCTTGAAAATACCCATTTTGCAGCTGTTTAGTTTTATTTTCGTAGTTAAGTTGGAGGAAGTTTATCTTGGAGGAACTTTATAGGATCACATCTCATATCAGATCAGTGAAACCATCAATCCACATTACAGATGTCAGAATAGTTTACTAGCCTTTGAAATTAAGATGAATCTAAGTGTCACAATCACGTACCTAGTGTAGCTGAAAAGACCCTGAGTCCTTCCCACATAATGTACATGTCAAAATTTGACTTAAGTTTGTAGTCACAAAAACTGTTAGAAAATTTTCTAGAAAATTGAAGCTCTGTGTTTCAAGTCTACACAAAGTTTGTTCTTAAAAGAAATCTCTCAAATGTTCAGTAGCCACTTGAGCTGTTTACCATTATTCTATCAGGTAATGTATCAGATGTTGGCCAACAATGAAATACTCCCCAAATTCTTATCCCCCATTCAAAATAACTGAAACTGTATTTGGGATATTTGGTCGCTAGGTGGAGGTGGTTGCTTTGAGTCTCACGATCTCAGAGTCTGAATAAATGTGTATGTACCCTTATCAAAGGTCTAAACCAGAGCTGTCCAATAGAACTTTCAGGGAAGATAAAATTGTTTTTTCATACCATCCCATGAGATAGCCATGAACCTCATGTGGCTATTGAGCACTTGAAAGCTGCGAATTGTGACTAGCCTCATGTGGCTATTGAGCACTTGAAAGCTGCGAATTGTGACTAGCAGACTAACGTTAAATTTTATATGTGTATTTTTTAAGACTTTTTTTTTAGAGCAGTTTTAGCTTCACAGCAAAATTTCGAGGAAGTAGAGATTTCCCTTATAACCCCAGCCCCTATACACATACAACTTCTCCATTATCAGCATTCCCCCACCAGAGTAGTATATGCTACAATTGATAATATACATCAACACATCAGAATCACCAAAAGTCCATAGTCTGCATAATGGCTCACTCATGGTGTTGTATGTTCCATTGATGTGACCTAGTATGCAATGACAAGTGTTCACCATTATAGTAGTATACAGAACATTTTCACTGCCATAAAAAGCCTCTGTGCTCCACCTATTCATCCCTCCTCACTTCCCAACCCCTGGCAACCACTAATCTTTTTTATTGTCCCCACAGTTTTGCCTTTTACATAATTCCATGCTGTTGGAATCATACTGTATGTAGCCTTTCCAGATTTCACTTAGTAAAATGCATTTAAGTTTTCTCCATGTCTTTTCATGACTTGCTAGCTAATTTCATTTTAGTGGTGAATAATATTCCATTGTCTGGATGTACTAAAGCTCATTTATTCATTCACCTTTTAAAAGAAATCTTAGTAGCTTCCAAGTTTGGGCAACTATGAATAAAGATCTGTGAGCAGGTTTTATGTGAACATAAGTTTTCAACTCCTTTGGGTAAATACTAAAGAGCATGATTGCTGAATCACATGTTAAGAGTGTGTTTAGTCTTGTAAGAAAGTACTGTACTATTTTGCACTCCTACCAGTGAATGAGGGTTCCTACTGCTTCACATCTTCACCAGCATTTGATGTTGTCAGTGTTTCAGATTTTGGCCATTCTAATATGTATGTAATGGTATCTCATTGTTTTAATTTGCATTTCTTTGATGACATATGATGTGGAGCACCTTTTCATATGCTGCTTTGCCATCTGTATATCTACTTTGTTAAAGTCCTTGGTCCATTTTTTTACCTGGCTTTTTATTTTCTTATTGTTGCATGTTAAGACTTCATTTTGGAAAACAGTCCTTTACCAGAAGTGTTTTTGCAAATATTTACTTCCATTCTGTGGCTTGTCTTCTATTTTCTTGATGTGGACTTTTGCCAAGCAGTTTTTAATTTTAATTAAGTCTAGCTTATCAATTATTTCTTTTATGTATTGTGCCTTTCGTGTCCTATCTAGAAAGTTATTAATTTCTCCTGTAATCTCCTAGGAGTTTTATAGTTGCATTTTACATTTAGGCCTGTGATGCATTTTCAGTTAATTTTTATGAAGAGTGTAAGGTTTATGTCTAGAATTTCTTTGCATGTGAATTTCTAGTTGTTCCAGTACCATTTGTTGAAAAGAATATCTTTGCTCCATTAAACTGCATTTTTTTTCCTCTGTCACAGATTAGTTGACAATATTTATGTGGGTTTATTTTTGGGATTTTGTTGTTTCATTGATCTATTTGTCTACTCTTTCACCAATACCACACTGTCTGTACTGTAGCTTTGTAGTAAGTCTTAAATTCAGGTAGCGTCAGCCCTTCACTTTTGTTCTTCTTCAGTATTCAATATTGTGTTGGTTATTCTGGGCCTTTTGCCTCTCCACATAAACTTTAGAAATAGCTTGTTGACATCCACAAAATAATTTTCTGGGATTTTCTGGGACCGAGATTGCACTGAATCTACAGATCAAGTTGGGAGGAACTGACATCTTGACAATATTGAATCTTTCCATAAACTTGGACTCTCTCTCCATTTATTTAGTTCTTTGATTTCATTCATTAGAGTTTACAGTTTTCCTCATGTAGATCTCATGCATATATTGTTTGATTCATACCTATTTCATTTTGGGGGTTACTAATGAAAATGGTATTGTTTTCACTTTCCAGTTCCACTTGTTCATTGCTGGTATAATCTTAACCTTAATTAATTTAAATTTAAATAGCTTTATATGTCTAATAGCTATTGTTTTAGACAGCACAAACCTAGTCTCTACAAATACAATCATGAATTCCTCCCTTTTTAGGAATTATTCTCTTTTAAGAATAAATGTAAATGTTACTACTGTACCAAACTATAACGTTGCACCAACACATTTGTACTGACTTATTCACTTACCATTTATGGAAAATACAAGGCACTATGTACCAGTTGTCATACTAAATGCTAAAGAGCATTTAGGAGTTCCCTGAGTTCAGACTATTGAGAAATGTAGTAAGTAAAAATTACAATACAATTTTGCTTACTGCTAAAGACAACTGAATAGAGAATTGTGCGGACACAGCATATAGAATAACCACACGAATTAAAAAATTTCATCAAAGAGTTTTAGTTAAACTGGGACATCATGGAAGAATAAATTACAAAATAAATGGGGGTAGGGAGGAGTGAGGAAGAGGACCTGCATTCCAGAAAAGACGTGAAGCCCCAAAAGGGCTTGGTGTATCTAGGACACAGTAAGCTAATCCACGTGTGATGCACAGGGCAGAGGATGCCCTTGGCAAGTAGACTCCATACCGATGGTGAGAGTTTTAATGGTAAGTAAGAAGTTTGGATGTGAACAAGTCACATAGTACATTATATCTCCCCTATTTTTACATGCCATACTTTATACTAAATACTTTTTTTTAAATCTGCTTCATTAGATTTAAAAGTTGTTTATGGCAAGATCATGTCTGCCTTATCCACCCTGTACTTCATGGTATCTGGTAACCAGTAAGTATTTGTTACACAAATGAATGTTTTTGTTTATTCTGAAGCTTGATGCCCTTTGGGACCACACCACCTATGCAGTTCCAAGTTACCTCCTTTAACTTCTGGTGTTCCATCTCTCCGTTTGCAGTCATATCGCTCAACAGTTTGCCTGTTTGGTGATAGTCCTTAGTGACAAGTTTTATTACTGTGTTCTCTGCATTTTAAATAAAGCTAGGAACTTTACTAGACAAGAACATTTGTGACACTGGCTTTGAATCACCCAGAATAAGATACCGAGATGGGAAAGTAACTGAAATAAATCCCCTTCACCAACTCCATAGGGCGTGTGGTTAAAAGGAATTATGTATGTATAATAGACACACTTTTTTAAAGTGAAGAGTGAAGAAAGGTAACCAGAGTAAATATCTACTTTCTGCTGATATCAGTGTAGGAGAAAGTAAAACAAAAGTACTCCTTGCTTCTTCCATTCCATCCTTGGCCATATACATTTATTATCTTACGTTTATATTTCTTCATTATTCAATGGAACTAATCTTCCCCGTAAGAAAACAGGAAAGGCTCTAGAATACGTGAGAGCAATTCCCAGTATTTACGGTACCCGAATTATTCTCCTTTGTGGAAAATAAATAAATAAATAAAATAATGACCCAAAGAGGGCAAGGCTTTGAGCCCAAGCAGAAATCAGCATGATTTCCTATACAAGCCTGGCTGCCCTTCGTCATAGCTGGGGGGATGCCAACAGCAGGCACAGGCTCATCTCCTCTCCGCCGCACCCCCTCCCCGAAAACCAAAGGGAGGGCAGAAAAAAAAGTGGTTAATTTGATTATCACTGTGCCAAATCGTTAGGAATAACGCAAACAAAAACCTAAAGTAACACTACTAACTTGGCTCGCCTGCATGCCATCCGCAGCCTGTCAGACACCTCGCTCTGGCTCTCGGCAGCTCCCGCCGGCCTCACGCAGCCGAGCACAAACCTCCCGCGCGGGGTGGGCGGGGCTTCGGCGCTTCCCGCCCGCCCCCGCCGGCGCCGGCCGCGCGCGTTCCGGAGCTGCGTGCGGGAGGAGTCTTGTCCCTCTGCGCGGCCCGTTCCGCTTCGGTTCCGCCTGCCTTCGGGCTGACGTGTCTGCTGTACGTCGGCGGCTCGGCGAGTAGGGCCGTGATGGCGGACGCCTGGGAAGAAATTAGGCGGTTGGCGGCTGACTTCCAGCGGGCGCAGTTCGCAGAGGCCACGCAGAGGTGCCCGACCCTCCCTCTCCCGTGTGGAGTCCAAATTAGCCCTTGGGCGGTCACGCCGAGATCTGAGGCCGCAGACCCCCGCCCTGGAGCCCGGACTTTCCCAGCCCCTGTCACGGTTCCCGCCTCCCCCCACCTCCCTGACCCTGGGTTGCGGTTCCCAGAATAGTTTCGTCCGAGAAGACCAAAATCTACTGCGCCTACACCCACACCCGAGTCCCAGCCAGGTGCAGCCGCGGCCCGCCCCCACGATAGCTGGGGCTGGTGACCCCGAGCAGTCTTCAGAGGGTCCTTCTGATTCTTACCTGTCATTGAGCCGCTGTGCGCTTACTGACCTAGAAAGAACTTGAAGGGAGAGGCTAAACCTCAAAATATAGTACTTGGCAAATACTGTGTTGACTCTTTAAACATTCTGCCTTTTTGTTTACCAGAACAGATATACTAGGCCAGAGCCATGGTCCCACTTGTCATTTTTAGGGACTCCTGACACTGACATTTCCTACAAACCCACTAACCTTTTGGGTTGTATCCTAAAAAGCACCCTGACTCTGCTTTTTTACCATTACAGAACACATAAAATGCTAATAGAACCCTTTTTTATCCGTTGATTATCTCTTGCCATGTTCTTTCTGGGGATGAAGACCTTAATCCCATGATGCTGTATTTTGTAACACTGCGAGCAAACTAGGACACTTAAGTGCTTTGGTTAACTGTAAGTTGCTGTTACGGTTTTCTTAGGCCAGCTCTCCTGCTTACAGAGCAGTTGTACGAGTGAGGCAATTATACATTTCATTTAAAAGAAAATTTGGGTTTTTTTTTAAACTGAAGTTAAAGTGAAAATTAAAAGTACGGCAGGTTTTTTGCCTTATCTAAATTATATATCCTCGGTTTTCTATTCAGATCTGAAGATGAGAAGCAGGCCTAGAAGAGAGCAAACTTGAAATCTGTAATAGATTTGTAACAATTAACTTCTTGATTTAAGTGTATGTAAACCCGCTTACTCTGGAGAAATTTTTTTAACTTACTGAATTAGTATTAATTAACTAATAAAGTTTATAGATTTTGTAATGTAGAATCTAGAGACTCTTTATCCAAACCTTTTTTAAAAGCCTGTTTTCATACGTTTTTGTTATTTATTGAACACTGAATGTATCAAATGCATTTTTTAAACCTAATTTTTCTTTCCCTCAGGTTGTCAGAGCGGAACTGCATTGAGATTGTGAATAAACTGATTGCTCAGAAACAGCTAGAAGTAGTTCACACACTTGACGGGAAGGAATATGTTACTCCAGCCCAAATTAGTAAAGAAATGAGAGATGAGCTACATGTTCGAGGTGGTAAGTAATTCCTTAGTATTTTTTTTCTGATTCTTTGAAAAGGGGATAGGGAGGACCTTAAAACCATAAATCATAAATGATTTGGAGGTTTTAGGACACCCTTCTCAATTGTTAACATGCTAATCAGCCTTAATATTTTTAAAAGGTTTGTGTAAACATGATCAGATAATTTAAATGAAGTCAAATCTTGTCACTTTAGAAAATAATATTTTTTATTATTTTGAGTTATGTGTTCGATATGTGAATTAAATCATCTGCTTTTCATAGTTCATGAATTTATTGCATGACTCAGGGGTGGATACTTAGCTGCCTGTTACCAGGTGATAATTGTGAAGAGGGAACAGAGATTTTTAATTATGGATTAAAAACCAAGGCTGTCCTATCATGCTGGGTTTTTTTTAAACTTTAAGTATTTGCAAATTAGGAAACAGTTAAATATGGAGCTACATCTGTTAGATTGTAGGAAATGCTATTACAAGCATACAAAAGAAGTTTTTGTTTCCTTTGTCTTTTTAAAATTTGAGCAAATTGCTGAGCAGATTTGAACACTATTTGATTGAAGTACATGCAACTGTGAAAACAACTCATTAGATGTAATTAGATATACCCTTGGTGTGTATTTTTTATCTTCCTACATAGGCCTAATAAAATACTGGATATAATTTAGAATACTTAACAGATACTTTTTTGCTAATAAGTGGAAATCTACCAGTTTCAAATAATTGAAAAAAGCTTATCTGAATTTAGTTGTCAAAATCTCTTTGTCATGATAAATAAATTGTGAAGTGAGATAAATAACCCCCATAGGTCTGGCCAAACTTGTGTATCAGTTGATGCTTATAATTGGTCTGATGTGACAGATGAAACTTTGAAAATAAATTATCATCTGTATCTTCAGCCATTATTCAGCTTTTGGTTTGTGTTTGAAGACATTAATTACTGGGCCTCTGTATTTTGTAGAAAGAGGACCTTGATGGTCCAAAACATAAATCTGTTGAAATTTATGATTTTTGGCTGGTATGTACTTACATGTAACTTAAAATTCGTGTCTTTTTTTTTTTTTCAAGGTCGAGTAAACATTGTTGATCTGCAACAGGTAAAGTTCAGCTCTAAAACTTTTTGATTCCTCAATTTATTGATACTACTAATTTTTTCAATGCCTTAAGTATTTACTGATACTGGTATCATATTTTGTATGTTTGTAAAATAATTATATAATCCTCACAGATACACTGAATCAGTTTAATAAGTTCTTTCTCAGTTGACTTGCTTATTCTTTATTCTTTACAAAATAAACTCATAGTTGTCATTTTACATAATTACAGGATTTATGTAACTTTGGGAGAAAAATCACTAGTTTCATGTTTACTTGTTTTTAGTATGTGTAAATAATAGAGAAATATAAAAAAGAAGATATTTTTAGAAAATATAAGTGTACATGTTATCAGTAAGGTATACTACAGCATATACAAGAAAGTGGCAAATCTTGTGTGAAATGGTGCCTGTTAGAGGAAAGCATAACTTCTTAATACAGACTTTCTTAGCAAGTAAAATTGTAATTTTTCAGAAATGAAAGTAAATAAGCAATAAGCCTCTAATTTTTTTAGACTTTTTACAGTATTTCAAATCAATTTGAAATTCACCTAAGGGTAAGTAAGTTTTTAAAAAGAGAGTTGTAAATATGTAATTCCAGGCTTAAGAAACAGTATGAACTTATCACTAATAGAATTTGTACTTGTTTTCCAGGTAATTAATGTGGATCTGACTCATATTGAAAATAGAATTGGTGACATTGTTAAATCAGAGAAACATGTTCAGCTAGTGTTGGGACAACTGATAGATGAGTATGTACAATATTTAAGAGCACTTTTTTTTTTATAAGTAAATTTACATTTAAATTTAGAACAATTGTGACCCCTTCGGCATTTTGTTTAGAACTCTTCTAGTGATGATTTTCATTATAAGGATCATTGTACTTAAAAAGTAAGTGCTTAATTGTGTGGAGTACTTGGAAATAATATAAACTTCTATTTTTTTCTATTATTTTAAAGCAACATAAAACAATTTTTATCATCTTTCCTATATGATTGTAAATCTGAAAGGAAAATTGTTCCAAAAATATTAATGAAAATGACTACAGAATTTTAATTGTTGAAAACAATTCTAGCATTTATTATTTGATTAACCATATATTTAGTTACACTGATAAGAAGAAAATAATTTTCAGAATTTGAGAAAGGAATGGTGTTCACCTGAACACACCATATTCATTACTTTTGGGGCATACCTTATTGTAACAGAAATCAAATATAGAAGATAGAGGAAAATCATTATCTCTTATTGATTGAGTCCTTTTTCTTTTTCTTTTTCTTTTTTTTAACTACTAGGAACTATTTGGATCACTTAGCAGAAGAGGTAAATGATAAATTACAAGAAAGTGGGCAGGTAACCATATCAGACCTATGTAAAACCTATGATCTTCCCGGAAACTTTCTGACACAGGTATTTTTTTCTTAATAGTGTAATGTGTCTTTTTAGATAAATAAACAAAGAATTTTAATGAGAGGGAAAAAACCAGACTTTCTTACCAGTAATTGCTCTTTTGCAAGTGTTTGACTATTGGTCTTATAGCAGTATATTTAGGGGGTATTTATACACTGATGGCTCTGATGAGATTGTTTAGAAATGGTTATAGTCTTCCTGAAGGCAGAGACACTCTAAACTTGATAGACTTAAGTTCAAGGCCTGCTTTGATGCAATAGCAAGTATACCATAAGGGCATAGGATTATTTAATGCTTCTGATGTCAGTTATACAGAAACTTGAACCAGGATATCTACAGTTCTGATTGTCTGGTTACATTTTAAGAAATAACTGATGAAGATTATAATTTAGAGGGGTTGCTGCTGGCATCTTGTGGCATAAATGTCAAGGATGCTGCTGAACATCCTACAGTGCACAGAGTGTCCCTGCAACAGTTTTCTTGCCTACAGTGTCAACAGTACCAACATCTTTTGATGTCACCTTTCTTCCTCCTCTATTTTTTAAAATTTTTATTTAAATTAGAGTATAGTTGATTTACAGTGTTGTTGGTTTCTGGTTTACAACAAAGTGATTCAGTTATATAAACATTTTTCTTTTTCATGTTTTTTTCCTTATGGTTTATTACAAGATATTGAATATAGTTCCCTGTGGTAAACAGTAGAACCTTGTTGTTTATGTGGTTTGTATGTAGTAATTTCTATCTGCTAATCCCAAACTCTTAGTTACCCATTCCCCACTCCTTTCCCCTTTGGTAACCATAAATTTGTTTTCTATGTCTGTGAGTCTTATTTCTGTTTCTTAAACAAGTTCATTTATATCATATTTTAGATTCCACATATAAGTGATATCATATGGTATTTGTCTTTCTCTGACTTACTTCACTTAGTATGATAATTTCTAGATGTTACCATGTTGCTGCAAATGGCAGTATTTCATTATTTTTATGCCTGAGTAGTATTCCATTTTATATATATACACCATATCACCATGTCTTCTTTATCGATTCATTTAGGTTGCTTCCACGTCTTGGCTATTGTAAATAGTACCACTATGAACACTGGTGTTGCAAGTATCTTTTTGAATTAGAGTTTTCTCCGGACATATGCCCAGGAGTGGGATTGCTGGATCATTCAGCAACTCTATTTTAAAGGCACCACTAAACTGTTTTCCATAGTGGCTGCACCAGTTTACATTCCCACCAACAGTAAGGAGGGTTTCTTTTTCTCCACACCCTTCCCAGCATTTATTATTTGTGTACTTTTTAATGATGGCCATTCTGACTAGTGTGAAGTGATGCCTCATTATAGTTTTGGTTTGCATTTCTCTAATAATTAGCCATGTTGAGCATCTTTTCATATGCCTTTTGGCTATCTGTATGTCTTTGGGAAAATGTCTATTTAGGTCTTCTGCCCATTTTTTGTTTGGGTTGTTGTTGTTGAGTTGTATATTTTGGAAATTAAGCCCTATTGGTTGCATCATTTGCAAATATTTTCACCCAGTCTCTTAAGTTGTTTTGTTTTGTTTATGATTTCCTTTATTGTGCAAAAGCTTGTAAGTTTGATTAGGTCCCATATGTTTATTTTTGCTCTTATTTCTATTGCTTTGGAAAACTGACCTAAGAAAACATTGCTACAATTTATGCAGAGAATGTTTTACCTATGTTCTCTTCTAGGAGTTTTATGCTGTCATGGCTTATATTTAAATCTTTAAGCCATTTTGAGTTTATTTTTGTGTACAATGTGAGGAACTGTTCTAGCTTCATTGATTTCCATGCCACTGTCCAGCTTTCCCAACACCACTTGCTGAAGAGACTGTCTTTTCTTCATTGTATATTCTTGCCTCCTTTATTGAAAATTAATTGACTGTAGAGGTGTGGGGTTTTTTTCTGCCCTTTCTGTTCTGTTCCGTTGATCCATATGTCTGTTTTTGTGCCAGTACCATACTGTTTTGATTACTGTAGCTTTATGGTATTGTCTGAAGTCTGAAAGAGTTATGCTGCCAGCTTTGTTCTACTTTCCTCAAGATTGCTTTGGCAATTTTGGGTCTTTTATGGTTCCAGATAAACTTTACAATTATTTATTCTAGTTCTTTGAAAAATGTCCTGGGTAATTTGATAGAAATCGGATTAAATCTGTAGATTGCTTTGGGTAGCATGGCCATTTTAACAAAGTTAATTCATCCAATCCAAGAGCGTGGGAGATGTTTTTCCATTTCTTTGAACTAGCTTCGGTTTCCTTTATCCATGTTTTATATTTCTCAGCATATAGATCTTTCACCTCCTCGGTTAGGTTTATTCCTAAATATTTTATTTTTCAATGTGATTTTAAAAGAGTTTTTTTTTTAATTTCCCTTTCTGATATTTCATTGTTAGTATAAAGAAATGCAGCAAATTTCTGTATGTTAGTCTTGTATCCTGCTACCTTGTCGAATTCACTTATCAGCGCTAGTAGTTTTTGTGTGTAGTCTTTAAGGTTTTCTACATATAGTATCATGTCATCTGTATATAATGACAGTTTTACCTCCTCCCTTCCAATTTTCATCAGTTTTATTTCTTTTTCTTGTCTGATTGCTGTGGCTAGGACTTCCAGTACTATGTTGAGAATAGAAATGGTGGGAGTGGGCATCCTTGTCTTCTAGATTTTAGAGAGAACACTTTCGGCTTTTCATTGTTTAGTATTAAGTTGGTTGTGGGTTTGTCATAAATGCCTTTTATTATGTTGAAATATATTCCTTCTGTACCCATTTTGGCAAGAGTTTTTATCGTGAATGGATTTTGAATTTTATCAAATGCTTTTTCTGCATCTATTGAGATGATCATGTAGTTTTTGTCTTTTGTTGATGTGGTGTATCACACTGATTTATTTGCGTATGTTGAACCATCCTTGTGATCCTGGGATGAATCCAATTTGATAGTGATGTATGATCTTTTTTATGTGGTGTTGGATTCCATTTGCTAATATTTTGTTGAGAATTTTTGCATCTGTATTCATCAAAGATATTGCCTGTAATTTTTTTTTTGGTATTATCTTTTATTTTGGTATCACAGTAATGGTGACTTTATAGAATGACTTTGGGAGTGTTCCCTCCTCGTCAGTCTTTTGGAATAGTTTAAGACAGTGTAAGTTCTTCCTTCTATGTTTGGTAAAATTCCCTGGTAAAGCCATCAGGCCCTGGACTTCTGTTTGCAGGAAATTTCTTTTACTGTAGATTCTATTTCATTTCTGTAGATTCTTCTTGATTCAGTTTTGGTGGGCATTGTATGTTTCTAGAAACTTGTCCATTTCTTGTAGGTTGCCCAATTTGTTGGTATATAATTGTTCATAGTCTTAAGGTTTTTTGTATTTCTTCAAATCCATTTGATACAGTGGAAAGTTCATGGGCTTTGGAATTAAACAGACCTTGATTTGAATTCTGTCTATGGCACTGCTTAGTTATTCAGTGTTAGGGGAATTATTTGATCTCTTTTGTGCTTCAAGTTACATATCTAAAAGTGGGAATAATTGTCTTTTTCATAGACTTAAGTGAGCTTATATACATGATATATCTAGTGAAATGGCTGGTACAGTGGAATTACTCAATAAATGATGGTTTTGTTTTGTATTTACTGGAACAGCTAAGGGAAAAGCCAAATCTCTTTTTAGGTATATTATCACTGTAAGGAAATCCAGCTTACAAAAATGTACCAAATCATAATTGCATGAGGTTAATTTATAATAAAATAGATTTACTCACCCATTTTAAGAGAGTGACTTCCCCTAATTACATCTAAAATACCATTTAGGGTACAGCTCTGTTTTACAAAGCATTTTAGTAGCCTAAGTTCCTGAGCAAATATATGTAAATCACAGAAAGTGAAAAGAAGTATTTTTAAACACTTTTGAAAGTATCAGAATAGAGTCAGATGATTTCTTATAAAACTATGCTACTGATAACATTTTAGAAATACATATGGTTTCTTAAGGTTTTCAGTTTTAATTTTTCTAAATATCATAGTATTGTAAAAGCTCATTAAGGTTGTTTGAAAAGCATTTTTCTGTACTCTAAAGTACAGCAAGGCCAACTTGAATATATTTAACTTGTCCTAGAATGTGAAATATGTCTAGGCTTATTTCATACATACCTGATACCGGTAATAGTGTAGCTGTGAATACTCTCTTGAGGTTACCAAGAAATTAGGTTGTCTATCAGTCTAGATTTCTGGACACAGATAGTTTGTTAATATTTGCATCACAAGAGGTAACTTTTCAGGTCTTATGTATCCCAGGTGACAGAATCTTGGAATAACATTTATTTCTCTCCATCAGTGTTAAAAGATCCATATAGTATTTTCTCCAAGACCTATGAACATGTCGTGCCTGTCTGTGTTTAAGCTGCCTACTCTCTAGAAAATTGATTAGTCAATCTCGTTTATTTTACAATAGCAATAGGCCTTGTTAGCAAGTATCTGAGCCTTTTAACATATCAGCTATTTGACTCATTCAGTTCTCCACTCTGCCGAAAGATTATGAAGTTTCCTAGATCCTAAGTCTTAATTTTACCTCATATATCTTGTTAATTCATGCTTGCTGAAATTTCTGTCATTTGATTAATACAGCATCAGCATGCAGCATGACTTTAGTAAGACTGTACAAATGTAAATGTATAATTTTCTTCTTTCAAATTAATAAAAATTTTCATCCATCTTTACCCTCAGGCACTAACTCATCGACTAGGTAGAATTATTAACGGACACATTGATCTTGATAACAGAGGAGTGATATTTACTGAAGCTTTTGTAGCTAGACATAAAGCACGCATCCGTGGGCTGTTCAGTGCTATTACCCGGTAAGCATGCTTTAAAATATGTATATTTTTACACTTCCTGATCATGATTTGTTTTTTTCCCTCAAGCAAAATCTGATTTAAGTCTAGTTTATTAAACAGATAGAAGGGAAGCTTCTATGAAATAAGAATGGGGATTCCAGAGCCCTAGATGTAGCCACACTCTTTCCAGCCCACATCTCTTTTCTGTTCCTACCTTCACCACCCTCATGACCCCAGATGCACTTCGGGAAAACATCCAGGTCATATATAAAGTCTCCCTGGGATAAAAGAAAGAGCATGCAGTTTAAAGTCAAAAGTCCTTGAGTCATAGCTGTATCACATGGTAACAATGCGACCTTAAGAGGGTAAGTCAGTCACCAAACTTCTTTGGGACTCAGATGGAGCTGGATGACTTTAGAACTTCTTTTTTTTTTTTTTTTTTTACTAAATAACATTCTAGAATTCTAGTGACTAACAGTGTTACTTTCAAAATCACTTTAACCTTTCTAAAGTAAGAATTTTTGAAAAGTTTGGGGCCTGTATGACAAACTCCAGTGTGGAATTAAGAAAACCTGCATTCTCAATTATCTCCTTTCTCTTGTGTCATTAAGTTTATCTCTGGTTTTGGAGTCCCATTATTGTTGAAGTATGTCCATTTTAACAGTCAAACCTCTCTCAACCTCATCTTGTACTCCCTCTACCATCTTGTTTATTCCTTTCCTTAAAGTGAACCTTCTTGAATTGATGTCTACATTAATGTCTCAGTTTTCTTACCTTCTGTCACCTCTCAGCTCACCCATCTGGCTTCTGCAGCTTACTTAGCAGTGATGTCAATATTGTTAAATCTAATGGGTATTTTTTTCTCCTTGTTTTACTTGACTTTGCAGCAGCATTAAATTCCAGTTATGCCTTCGTTCTTGAAAGGTTCTCATCCCTTGTTTTCATTTTCACACCCTACTTTACTGGCTTCTGCTTACCTCTTTTGTCTGTACGTTGTAAGTCACTCTGGCTCTTCCTCCTTTCTCTAGCCTTTCAAGTCTTGTTTCATGCCTTCATTTCTTCCCAGTCCTGTGCTGTCTTCCTAGGTGCTTTTACCTTTCTTTTAAATTTCAGACTCATACCACCTGTACAGCATGTCTATTGAAGTGTCTTACAAGTGCCTCAAATTCAGCATATTTAAAATAACTCACTGTCTCTGAGCTATCCCACTCCCCACCCTGTCTAAATTTATTTTTCCACTTGTGTTTCCTTTAGCAGTAAACATCATCATCAGGCTGGTTTCGCCAGAGAACTAGGAGTCATCCTGTATACCATCCTTTCTCTCACCGCCCTTTCCATAACACAACATGTTTTGAGTTCTGTCTTCTAAATAGTTGTGTAATCTTTACTTCTCTGACATCACCATTCTCATCACTCCAGTCCATTTTTTATATGAACTGTTATAGCACCTTTCTAACAAGTCTCCCTTCTTCTACTCTTATTACCCTTCAGGGTAATTTTTACATGACAGCCTTAGTAATTTATTTTTGTCATTCAACCAATCAAAAGCACTTATTGAATACCTAGTATATGAAAGACACTGATGGAACAAAAGACTAGGTTAGAAGAGAGAGCTTGCAATCTGTTGCAACAGTTTTCTTCTTTCTTTCTTTTTTTATCTCACACAGAAAAGTTGCAAGAGAACCTTTTTTTTTTCCTGTCCCATTTGAGAGAAAGTGGCTAACATAATGTCCTATCACCACAAATACTTTAGTCTGTGTTTTCTACAAATAAGGGCAATGTCCTATAGAACTATAATCAAACATCAAAATCAGAAAATTGACATTGATACATTACTACCATCCAGTCCTTGGACACCGTTCGTATTTTACTAATTGTTCCAGTAATATGCTTTATAGAAAAAGGATCGAGTCCAGAATCACACACTTAATTGTCATGTCTCCTTAGTCACCTTCAATCTGGAACAGTTACCTGGTGTTTCCTTGACTTTCATGACCTTGACAATTTTGAAGATCACAGGCCAGTTATTTTGTAGAATATTCCATTTTTCCTTTCTGCTGTTTTTTCAAGCTGATGTTCAGGTTATACATCCTTGACCGAAATATCACAGAAGTGATTCTGTGTTCTTGTCATTGAGCCCTATCAGAGGGCATAACCATTTACATTTTTCCAGTTTCTGATGAGATGCATTGTAACTTCTTAGTAAGGAGATATCTGCTAGGCTTCTCATAAAGCTACTTATTTTCCATGTATAATTAAGTATTTGTGAGGAGGGCATTTTGAGATCATGTGAGTTACCCAGTTTTTCATCAAATTTTCAGTTTATTCATTTATTAAATTACTGTGGACTTATGGTTTCCTATATTATTCATTGGATTATAATCTGTTATCATTATTTAGATTTTCAAATTGGCTCTGGTTTTTTAGCTGGTGGCAGGCCCTTTAGAGTGGCTTCTGTGTCCTTTTGACATGTCCCCATCATTCTTCCAATACTTCTTTCTAGCACAACAAGAAGTTCCAGGATCAATTTATACTTTCCCTGTCTCAATCATGTAATCAGCCATTTCTCCGAGGAGCCTGGTTCCTTTTAGTAGAGTATTGTATTTAGAAATCAAGTTCCAGACACTAGATTGCTTATTGCTGTTTAGTTGTTCCTGCTCTCAAGCCCTCCCCTCAGACAAGCTAAGGGATACACAGACACACATGTATACACCCCCCTGTATTTCTGTATCTTTATTTTTATGTATCAGAAACCATGAGTTCACACTGATACCTCCAGTTCCCTTTCAATGCCATAAGTTTTGTTCTAGTTTTCTCCTTTTCTGTAATTATAACTCCCTTCTCTGACCATGAGAAACCTAGCTCCCATTATCCTTAATAGATTTACTTACTAGAATAATTCCCCTTTATGTGTCTGATCTCCCATTGCTGCTACAGCTCTATTCCCTGTGTGGGTGCCCTCTTTACTCCACATAGGGTCTAACAGCTTACACCAGATCACCCTCTTGACAGAAGAAACTGGTAACAGTAGTTGCTTCCAGAAGAGGAACTGAGTAGCTGAGTGATAGCAGTGAAGGGGACTCAGTTTTGTAACTTTTTTGGATCCTGTACGTTGATTGCTTAGTTAAAAACTAAAAATATATTCTTCCTATTAACAAATATTTATTCTTTTTCTTTGACTGATTATTGTGATGGGTGTAGTTATCATCAGATTCGGCAAATATTTTACTGACTCAGTAGCCCTGTGTTTTTCTATATGGAGATGTTATCAAACCAGGAGAGCAAAATAAATTCTGAGCCTCAAAAGAGGTTGTTAGACTGTGTAGCTTCCAGATAATTCCACCTAATGTAATGTATCTTCATATTTGCCTCTTAAGTATAGGAAACTAACTCACTTTTCTGGTCTGCTTTCAGAGAAACCTGCATCTCTGATTAAAAAGAGTTTCTATTTATTGTTATTATAGGTAGCCAGAAGAAGAGCAGGAGTAATTAGTGAGAAGAGTGAGATACATAGGTATACTAAACTACATTGTATTGCAGATTGAAATAAAAAATCAGCAGCTAAGTTTTATTGTACAAAAAAAGCTAGACATTTTGTGCAATTCAATTAAACTTTTATTGAACACCGGCAATAAGTTATGCACCCAGAAATTTTAAGATTCTTCAAGGAGCTCTGTATTTTCGTAGGAGTGTGTTTACATAGAAGGAAACAGAAAACAAAAAACAAAACATAAGAAGGTTGTTATAATATAAACAGAGGAGAGCAAACTTCACAGAGCACCTAACTTCACCTAATTGGTTTGGGAGCTCTAGATAATTTAGCTGAAAATTTGGGGTAAAATAATTTAATAAAAACCAAATTGATCTATACAAGAATTTGGTAAAAATAATAATTTAGTCAAATATCCCCAAACACAGCAGTTTTAATATCAATTCTAAATATGAATTGACAGCTGTTTCTTCCCTTCCAGGTTTGGCATAAGAGAAAATTTATAACATCTTAAATAGCAAGAGAGGATCAAGTAATTGGAAAAACTTAAAAATCTGTAATTATATGCATAAGAATAAAATCATACCCTAAACCATAGATCTGGCATAATTGTTGGCTTAAAATGAATAGGGAAGAAAAAATTGGAGCCAGAAAAATGTCTAGATCTTTTTTTATAGTTCCTTTTACTTAAAAGAAATTGTAATTATTATAAAAGAAAAACATTCACAAGGATCTATCCAAAAGAAATGAAAATATATTTCCACACAAATACATGAAAACAAATCTTCATAGCAGCATTTTTCATAATAGCCCCAAACTGGAAATAATCCAGGTGTCCATCAACAATGAATGGATACAAACAACAAAATGTGATGTATCCATACACCAGAATATTCAGCAATAAAAAGGAATATTTGATCCATGCTTCATCATGTGTGAACCTCAAGAACATGCTAAGTGAAAGAAGCTGGCCACAAGAGCACAGGAGACCACATACTGATCCCATCTATAAGAAATTTCTAGAAAGGCATGTCTGTAGAGGCAGAAAGCAGATCATGGTTTTCTAGGTCCAGGATTGGCAACAGAATTTAACTGCAAACATCTAGAAGGAACTTTTTGGGTAATGGAAACATTCTAAAACCAGATTGTAGTGTTGGTTGATCAACTGTATAAATAAAGATCATTAAAATGTATACTCAGAATTGGGTAGATTTATGATATGTAAATTATGTTTATCTCACTAAAGCTGTTTTTTTTTTTAAAAAGAAATGTGTAATCACTACAGAAAATACTAATGAGCCAAAGAGAGCATTTAAAGTGAATCTCCCCCAGGCATACAACTGGAGTACGTCATTACAGATTCCTTTCAGTATATATGACCTTATTTTCTTCAAAAATAGAATTGTGTAGCATTCACTGACTTCCCAGATGGGAAAAGAGCCTCCCAGACAGAAAGAATGGAATGAAGGAAAATAAACGTACAATAAAGAGCAAGGCAGACAATTAAGAATCACTAAATTTTAGATGAAAATTTGTTGGGAAAGTAAATTGATCCCAGATTGGGAAGACAGATCAATTCCCCTGGTGTCACAGTAGCGTAATTCTGAATGACATAAAATTTGGTGTAATTTTTGCCTTCATTGTTTTCTTCTGAATTAATTTGTATTTTTCATAAACCATTCTGGTTTTTTTTTTACGTTCATAAATGTATAACTCTATAATGAGTAAAAAGGTTTTTGTTTTGTTTTGGTTTGTTTCCTTTCCATAAAGGCCCACAGCAGTGAATTCTTTGATTTCAAAATATGGATTTCAGGAGCAGCTTCTTTACTGTGAGTTTGTTTTAAGTTATGTATCACTTAATTAGCTGTTGAATAGACTTAACAGAAAACTTACTAATTTTAATGTCTTTTTCTCTTTTAATTTTAAAACTTACATAACTAAAATATTTCAAGTTGAGAAGTTTCTCTATTCCAATTTTCATATATATGTCTATCTGTTAAACCCACCAAATATTCAGTGGTGGGTACCTCAAGAGGAGTGGCATAAAAAAAAGTTGTGTGTGCACATAATCTTATGTGTATACCTATGTAGAGAGACAGAGATTTAAAATTTTAGGATTGAGAATAATTTTCACTTTATTTCTTACAGATTTTTACTACATTTTCTTATGAAAGTAAATAGTGTTTGGCTAAAAAAAATTTTGCAGAAAGTTTATAGCATTAAAAAAAATTCTTAGTATTTGAACAGTATAGTATTATCTCCAAAATAATTTTGGTCCATTGCCCATTTTGTGTGTTTGTGAAGCTCTTATGAGGCTTTGACGGTTTTTTGGGGGTTTTTTAAGCTTTTCTGGAATAATTTTTAAAAGCAATGCCTTAATCTTTCAATCAGGTATCTGTGCAAATATAAGAATTAAAATGAAGAATGGAAAAGAAATTCAAGTACAGAATGAAAAATTAATTTTATTTGCTGTATTTTTCAGAATATGGAGTTAAACTTAAATTTTTTGTTTAAGGCAAATTTAAAATTAAAATATGACATATTTTGGAATCTACATAAACGGGGGTTGGTGGAATTTCATTATAATGTAAAGTTCTTGAAGTAATAACTGATAACTTGATAACTTTGGTCTGAATTTAGCTTGGATTTGTGTTGTACAATCACACGAAGTTTAAAATTATATATTGCAGTCTATTGAGAAATCTAAACTTTTCTGATATACTCTAATTTACTCAGCATTGAAATTCTGAAATTCATGTGTAAATTCATTTTTATTTCTGTTAAAGGCAAATTCTCCTAAACCATTTTTATACCAGACATCTTTTGAATGTTCTTGTTGATTCACTTAGAAATAAGTCCTTCCTATCTGCATTGTCTTTTATTAGGGAATTTTGATATTTAAAACAAAGTGTATAGTCAAATGTTACAGTTTAAATAAAAAGCAAAAATTTGGTATTAATAGCAGCACTATCCAGTTTTCATACTGACTTCAATCTTTTGATTTTGATGGTAGTAGTGATGTTATTTAGTTAATATTTTTGAGTGCTTGTTATATGCCAAATACTCTTTTAAGCACTTTACTAAATTGAATACAATAGCCCAGTGAGATAAATATTATTATTATCCCCATTTTAAGGATGAGAAGATAAAGGCATCAGTAAAATGACTTGCCCCAGTGTTTGTCAGCTAGTAGGTGGCAGAGTGGAGGTTTGAACTTAAGCTGTCTGGGTCCGGATCCATCCTCTTAATCATGGCATTATACTTCTGTTATGCATAGGGTTAAAATATGTTGCTTCAGTTTAATCAGTGGAATGTAATAATTTAGACAAATTTTCATGGCTTTATTTCACGCAGTGTATTCTAACAGGATCCAGGTATCTTGATTTTTCTTTATGAGAAAATTGAAGTTGATAACACTAGTGACTGTATATTACCTATTCTCAAAGTACTTATTTATCTACTTTTAATCATGAGATAATAATGGCATATTGTGTTTTTTCCCTAAAATCACTCAGACTGAAAAACTCAACATTAATATTAACTAGTTTGAATTACAAGTTCAGCACATTTAGCTAGTTGCCAAAATTTCCTGAATTTATGACCTGAATATTCTCATAAATGGCAGGTAAGTTTTGTCTAAAATATTGTGTTTAGTATGGAATTGAAACTTTAAATTGCTATTTTAAAGGGTAAGAATGACTAAATTGTGAAATAGTGAAGTGTTTTACTTTTGGAGATTTTTTACTTACTCTGATTTATTTCTATTTCTATTTGTTTGGTTTTCTTTTAAGCTGTTCTTGAGGAACTTGTTAATAGTGGACGCTTACGAGGCACTGTGGTTGGTGGGAGACAGGATAAGGCGGTGTTTGTCCCTGACATTTATTCCAGGACACAAAGTGCTTGGGTGGATTCTTTTTTCAGGCAGAATGGCTATCTCGGTAACTTTCTTTATTTGTTTAACTAAAACTCACTTCTAGTATGAAACATAGTCTTAGAAAGATTTTATTAGCCCTGGGAATACACATGTACTTTACTATTGTCCAGCAGACTATAATGGTTCTTTTTGAGTATAAAAGTAGGGACCTGCAGGTTTTTGTGGATCATGTAACTGAGTTTAATTCCGTAATTATTGAACAATTGTAATGTAGAAAAGCCAAAAGCTGGTATCGATTGTCACCAGCCTTCTAGTAATGTGATACTATATATAAAATACTTCAAGTACTTTTTAATTCATAAAAATAATTATATTTATTATATCTCATAACTTATGAAGTTAGCTGGTTTTTAGTTGCATAATCTTAGAAATATTTCATTGACTGTTTTACAATGTTCATTTTTATTAGTTATCTGGTACTTCAGAAACATTGAAGTTATTCTAAATTCTGTTTCTGAGGTTCTGTCATTTACATAAAGTAGACTGATTGAATTTAATCATTAAAGCAATTAGCAAATATATATATTTATATTTATATGTAACCCACTTAGTTTGATCAATTTCATAGCCCAAGTCAAACTATGTAAGATCAGTTAGCTATAAATAAGTAAACATATAAGTTATCAGTGTTCAGTTTAAATGTGTGCTAGAATGAAAATGGGGCTTGGCTTATGTTTTCTTGACTTTCTGTAATGTATTTTTTCAGTTTTTTCATCAAAGGACTTGGATTAGAATTTTGTTGTGATTAATTTTCTTCAATATGATTATCTGGGGACAGAGAGAAGATGGTAGATATCTCCAATAGCTTTAATGGCTGCAAATTTAACTTTTTAATTTTGTTTTATATTCTAAGTCTTTTACTAGTTTAAATTAGGCTAGAGAATTGCTTTGTCCTCAGTAGTCTAATGAAACAGTTGAAATTCCATTCTTTAACTGTAATAGGAAAGATAAATTCCAGTTTTTGTTTTTCTACTTAAATCATTATTCTTTTACCCCCATTTCTAGTTTTATTGCTCTTTAGTTCTCATGTTTCCCTTTGACTCCTCAATTGGAGAGAAAGTGACATAGTGAAATACTTCAACCAATTGTTCTAAATATATGTTTAGTAATAAAAATTTGAGAAGGTAGAATAACCAGGAAATAGGCTGTGGTACACTTCTATATTTTATTCTTAAAAAAAGATGTTAGAATACAGTGCATTCATGAAGAATAGATTTTGTAGAACTTAACTTTTCCTATGATTTCTAAAAGGTGTGAATGATTGACAATTCCATTCCAACCTTGTGATATTTCTAGAATTTGATGCTTTGTCCAGACTTGGAATCCCAGATGCTGTGAGCTACATAAAGAAAAGATATAAGACTACCCAGCTCCTGTTTTTGAAAGCAGCTTGTGTTGGTCAAGGACTTGTGGATCAGGTGGAAGCATCAGTAGAGGAAGCCATCAGCTCTGGAACATGGGTTGATATTGCAGTATGTTTAAAAATCTTTTTCTTAATTTTCCTTTAAACTGATGAACAACTGGTGTTTCACTGGCGTGCAGCCATTTTAAAATTAGGATACATAAAGGTAGTCATGGCTTTAGAGCTAAATTCTAGCAGTCATTGTTATGACAGAAATAATCTTAATTATTTTATACTTAAAGACTTTCCAGCTTTTGAAGTAGAGGGACCTTTTACATATGGATAGTCAACATCCAGAATTCTGTGAATTTCAAAATAAATAAGCAGACAATAAAACACTCATATCAGTCCTGCCATACAGAAATTGATGAGACTTCTCACAGTCTTATCCAAGCATTTACAGCTTTACTGGCATCAGGCATCATGTAGCATTTGTTTGTTTCCTATCCATTAATCTCTGCTAATGAATTAACACAAGCTGCTTTAGCACTGATAAGTGTTTTACTTCAGTGTTCAGTATTGACCTGTCTTTGTTATGCCAAAAAGGTGAATGTAGGTGATAAGAAAGAAGTGGGAGGCCAATCCATTATTTACTACTCAGAGTCCAGATTCTCTTTATAAAGCAGAAAGTACTTTGCTTTGGAGACATGTTTCCCAGAGATTCCAGGTGTCTTTGTTTATTCATTCAAATTTTATTAAGTACTTTCTGTGTGCCAGGTACCATTTTACCTGTTGGGAATGCTTTGTCCAGACAAATTTCCAGCTTTCAGGAGGGGTGCTTTCATGAGGGTGGGGAGCAGTTGTTAATGAAAATGGTAATTTTGGATAGCAGAAAGAGCTAAGAAGAAATGTATTTTGGAGGCAGACTTTTCAGGACTTGAAGTTGGATTGCTTGTGAGTTTGTGAGAGGAACTAAGTGTGACTTGTAGGTTTTGGACCAGATCAGCTGAATGGAGAGTGGTTCCATTAACTGAGATGGAGGAATGATGAGGAAGAGAATATGGGAGCTGGGAGTCGGGGCAGGAGGCACAAATCCACATTGTTTTCAACAGGATGTGTTAAAATTTGAGGTGCCTATGAGGAGTTTGAGTGGGGAGGTTAGGGAAACAGTAGGATGTGTGATTTCAGAGTTCAGAGTGATGATAAAAGCAGAAATATAATTTGGGAGTTTGTCAGCATATAGATGGTTATGAAAGCCATTGGACTTAATGAGATCACTTAGGGAGAGCATATATATATATGTAACAAATGATTTATCTGTATTATATTGCATTTATACTTTGTTTTCATTTTTCTTGTAATTCTAGCCTCTGCTGCCCAGTTCTTTATCAGTTGAAGATGCTGCAATATTGCTTCAACACGTGATGAGGGCACTCAGCAAACAGGCTTCAGCTGTGGTCTTTAGCGATACTATTGTAGTCAGTGAAAAATATTTAAATGACTGTACGGAACTATTCAGTGAACTGATGCACCAAAAAGCTGAAAAGGTATGCCAGATTTTCTTTCACCTACTAATTTCAACCGTGTTTTCACATTAGAATCATCTTACGACTTTTGAAAAATGGGGTAAGCAGTATACCCAAAAATGAACAGTGTTTCATAGGCCATTTTCCTTCAATGCATCATTCCTTTTTTATTTCCTCTCCTGGATTTGTTTTTCTCCTTCTTCATTCCCATCAGGACATAAAAGTTAGAACTTAAGAGAGCTGATTTTATAACTTGAAATCACATAAATGAAATTACACATTTCACAATTAAGTCACCTGAGGGTATTGGTCCAACATTAAAATCCATAAAAATAGTATCTATGGATTATATACATAAATATACAGTACATTTATTAATTGGTACACAGCATGTTTATTAAATCTAGCAGAGCCTCGTTAATTTTATCTATTTGGGATATACCAACAGGATAAGTTAGTGAGGAAAGAAGTTATTATCAAAATTGATCAGTTCCTTAGAAGCTGCTATTGAAGTGCTGAGAAGTCATGCCAGGTCTGCTTTAATGACTGTTTAATTCATGTTTCTATGTAGCAGCACCGTCTGCTTATAAAGCCTGCTCACAAATAGGTAGCACAAGCTAATTTATTTCGGATAGACTTTTAGTAAATTCATGAGGGGTTATTAAATATATAAATAATTTATTTTTATCCTATTCCTTTTAAGCTCCAATAATAGTCTAAAAAAGAGGTATCTTTTTACATTTGGCCTGTAAAGCAGCAGAGAGGAGTAAAAAGTATACAGGATTGATACCAGTAAACCTGAGTTCTAATTTCAACTTCTTTACTCTCTGTTTGACTTTGGACAGTAGACCTCCAGTTTTTCATCTCCAAAGAAAGGATCATGATGCCTGCTCCCCCAGGGATAAATGTAAATATAGGGGCAATGTAAATAAAATATCTGGTATGTTAGCTACCAGTTACTAAATGACTACATCATTATTTTTATTTGTGATCTTTTGCTAAACTAAAAACACAATCATCAGTCTTTTTCTTTCCTTGTGCTCCTTTCTCCAACCACAGAAATGAATTCAGAAAAAAAGGTGATTCTTCTGTTTGAACTTTCAACATTGTAAATAGTTTTCCTTGGAAAACCGAAAAAGAAATACTGTTTTTAACACATGAAAATGTACATTTGTCACTACAGATTTAGAACTCTTTCCCATGATAAAGAACCAGTTTCTGAACTTGAAAATAGTTTATTGTTTCTAACATAATATTATAAAAGCAGAGATCAAGAGGAAAAAAGTTTACATGACTAAGTATGCCACTCATATGATCATTATTGTGGGACATGGATAGAGATTTCATTATTTTTTTAGTAATCTCAGATTTCCAAGTGGCATTGGACTTGGGAGTCTTGAAAAGAAAGAGAGCAAGTGTCACCCATTAAGCCGTGATAAAACCAGTCAATAATGTTGAAGAGGATTGCATCTGATGCTGTGTGATCAGTTGTTTAGTGACTGAAATGGATTTCTCATTGGCTGGTAATAGATACAAAAAGCCAAGAACGGCAAGGGAAGAGACTGATTACGGGGAGAAAGTCTCAGCATGGCAACTGAGACAAAGCTCTAGTTTCTTAGCAATGAAACCAAACAAGAATTAGGATATGAGTATATAAACTTTTATTTTATGTTTTTCATAATGTTATATATTTTTGCCTACAAAAAAAATGCATGCTTTATTTCAGGAAATGAAAAACAATCCTGTTCATTTAATCACTGAAGAAGATCTGAAACAAGTCTCCATTTTAGAAAGCATTAATACAAATAAAAAGGATAAGAAAGATGAGCGAAGGAGGAAAGCAACAGGTAACAAAAAAGATGATGGTGATGATGATGATGATTATTATTAACAAAGAAGATTCAAGATAAGTTTTTTATTTGTTGAGGTGAACTTTGCATTTATCAGACCTTTGAAAGGACTTTGTTTGGTTGATTCGCTTTTAACTGCTAATATTAACCAGATCTTTCACTACTGACTTAACTTTTGATTATGAAGATGGAAATATTGGTGATTACTTATTCAGTGTTTTATTTTGTGAGAACTAAGCTAATTTTATGACTTTCTGTTGTTTTCTTCAGCCTTTATGTTCCCAGTAGTTTTATTGGTTTGGTTTGGTTTTGCGGGGTTTTTTTGTTTTTTTTTTTAAGTCTGGAATTTTGCAAGTTTGTGTTCATCTCAAGGCCTTTGTACAAGCTGTTCCATCTACCTGGAAAGTTCTATGCTGAAATTCAAGTAACTGTTTTCTTCTTAGAAGAACTGAGCTCTTCATTAAGAGCTCACCTTTAAATGTCAGATCCTCAGGGAGGCCTCCCTAGCCACCTATAGAATAGTAGACACACACTGTCACTCTCCCTCGTAATATCTTCCCAGTTTTTTTTACATCACTTTTATCACTGTGATGTGTTTTATCCTTTGGGAACCTTCTCCATCTCATTTATTGTTTCCCTGGTACTTAAAGCATTCCTTGGTATTTTTTAAGTTCTCCATAAATACTGAGTGAATGAATTTCCCAAGGAGATTTTTTTTTAATTTCTTTTTTTAGTTTAGAGTTACTAGAAATTACCCTAGGTAGCACTGATATACTAGTAACTTGCTTTGCAAATTAACATATATGTCCCATACTTTCTATGATAGGAAAAATTTTATTAGTGCTATATCAGGGTTAAAGAAATTAGTTATTTACTATATCTCATTAATAAATATAGCTATATTGAATATGTGTTATAAAAACTTAATACTTATTTGCTGTGAGAATTCACTCCTATTTCTTTGAGATTGTTTCCTCTTCAAAAACCCTTTTCTATGGAATCTTTCTGTAATGTTTTGAAATGTTTCTCTATTCTAGAAAAACTGCATAGTAAATTACTGCAATAAATCATAAATCATAGTAGTATTCATAACCATGAATATTTTATTTGCATGTATAGTTAAAAATCCACCTTCATCAAATGGTTTTGTACTTATTGTCAATATAACAAGTCTGTTTTATACTCCTCTAAAAATTCAGAGTCATCCAGTGTTTTGTTCTTAGTGATAGTGCTACTGTATTGTAATAGCTTAATTACACTTCATGGAATAATGTCAGACATGAACATCTTCTCCATAAGAAACTTATTACCAAATGTAAGAAACACATTCACTTTAGACTTTTGCTTTTGAAAGTTGTATTTTTCTATAATAAGAGCAAGGGAAAATAAAAAAACTTATAGGATATGATGAACTCTAAGGGAATTCTACTTAAGAGTTTAGAAAAAGATCTTTAGTTTATATAAATTATTTTATTGAAAAAATTTTTATGAAGAAGTATATTTTCAATATTTTTCAGTGTTAGTCACATTAGATAAGTATTCTATTTTATTTAAAAGATGTTTTAAATGAAATATCTAATAGCATAGAAACACTTCAATAACATTTTTAACTTTTTTAATGTTTTAATTTATTTCATAGTTTATATTTTTTTAGTCTTCATTTAGCCAGTGTAACTATATTTTTAACTTAACTATATTTTTCTGCTTAACCAGTTTAATATTTTTGGTCAACATTTACTGAGCCCCTGTTATGTGTTAAGCATTGCTTTAACCCCAAGAAAACAAACATTAGAGAGACATGCTCCCTGCTTTCAAGAAGTTCATTATCTTTTTCGGTGGCAGGAGAGCATGACTCCTGTAAACCTCGGTAATAAATAATTTTTCAGTCAAGAAGACAAAACCAAGTATTAGTAAATTTGTGAGGTACTATAATAGGGGATATTAGTGAGGCTGTGTTAACAGATGAACAAACTAAGGCACTTTTGGGGAAGGTAGAAGAGGAGGTAAAGGAATGGGTTTGGCCAAGAAAATGTCAGTCAAAGCTACAGAAAATGGTGTCATTAGAGAAAGAGGAAAAGACTGCATTCAGAACAGGTAGGCTATCTAAGTGAGTTGCTCAAATTCAAGAGATTTCATATCCTATTATTTATTTTTATTGATTGAATTCATAAAACTTGTTTTAATAAGGGAACTACAGCCTTAAAAGTGACTAAAAGTTTAACTTTACAGTAGAAAAATAAAAGGCAAGTGATTAAATATGTCAATATAGTGTCATTTTTTTCTAAAAATGGTAATTTAGTTAGGTAATACTAACGAATGTCACTTTCCACCAGAGGGCAGTGGAAGCGTGAGAGGCGGCGGTGGCGGCAATGCCAGAGAGTACAAAATTAAAAAAACCAAGAAGAAAGGAAAAAAAGAGGACGATAGTGATGATGAGTCATCTCACACTGGTTTGTAGCTTTATTTCACTTTTCCTCTGAATACGCATGATTTTTTTTAGCGTATTTTCTTAAGATGCATACGGTTAGGTGTCTGTGCTTATGCAGAAGGTCCTTGCTTTGCATAGTTTAAGTGAGTGCAGATTTCACAGTTAGATAACATCAGTCCCCCAACAACACTATTCCTAGTGCAGTTACCAGTGTATATTAACTCTGAGTATTTGCATAAAGTGCAAATTTTGCTACTGGCTCCTTAGTCCACAAATCAACACATAAATTACAGATGTGCATCATGATCTGTGACAGTCACATCACTTATTTCAAAGTTTATTGGAGATTGGTCACTGTGCATCTCTTACTCGCTTTATGCATAGAAAACACAGCATGTAGTTGTGTTGCATCCTTGTCCCCCAGTGATAAATCGTGTGGCATTTTACAAAAATGAATAATCAAAAGAGGGAGTTAGCCAACAAAGACAAATGTGTGACAAAGAAAGGAAAAGTGGTAACACCGGAAATAAAACATGAATCAAGAATAAGTGGAGTTATAGAAGAAATACCTGACCAATCGTGGGAATGTTGACGTTGCCTCTGCGCAGGAGACTTTAGCTCTGCAGTCAGAGGGACTTGGTAAAGGCACATTTATTGACGTAAATGAGGAAAATGGTCATGATAAAAAGGATAAAAATGTCTTAGAGGATGTGAAGTTGGCAAAAAGCTTCACATTAAAGGAATTCTCAGAGATATTTCACAATGCTGAAAGGGCAAAGGATAAAATGTTGGAAACTGATCCAGAGTTAAAAAAGGAGTATGACAGCTTGCCCAGGCATAGAAAAGATGCTTGCTCTGTATTTTAAGTTACAGGATGAGAAGGCAAGCACTGTTCAAACTATTCTTAGTAGGTTTTTTACCAAGAAAGAAAACATTTTCCTTCTCAGTGTTTCTGATGCACAAAATTACAGTGTACTAAATTAGAACTATTACTCTTACGCTTTATTTCTCTATACATTTATAACCAGCAATAAGAGCACTGAATGTTTTCAAAACAAACATTTTTAAAAGGTTACAGAACAATCATAAATTTTCTCATTGTTTATTAAGAACACTTTGCAGTTTCAGCTTGCATAGTCATTTTTATGGCCTCCCAACTTCCATGCAAAACAAGTTAAAATATATTATGAAAAATGAATCTCCGCAAATTTAAGTAGGAAACATTAATGTTTTTATGCACATTTAATTTTTATGGTAACACCTGATTGGTTGGTTGCTTCTATCTAAGCAGGAGAATTATGTATATGAATCTTTCTTTTCCTCGACTTGTTAGTGTTTGGTATGGTTAAGTTAGGGAGAGGCATCTTACTTTGTTTTTCTAAATGAAATTATGATTTTTTTATGTTTCTGTTTAAAAATAATTGATGAAACTATGATATCTCCTTTTCCCCAACAAAAAGAGAAGACAATTTGAAATGATAATTTGAGATTTTCTTTTACCTCTTCCACAGAATTTATTATGTGTGGGTTTGAGCTGGGACATGTAAATATCAAGTGAAAAGGCTTCAGGTGTTAATGTGCTACTACTTGTAATGGCACAATTGCTTAAGATCTGTCTTAAGTATTCTGAGACAGTAAAAATAGCTACTGTTCTCAATGTACATTAAACAGTATTAATTAAAGGAAAAGTAGCTTCCTAGAAACTATGAGCTCTCTATCCTTATTTTAACTAGCATTGACTGTTCTATGTGAGTTTTTATTTTTCATTGCTAAATGGATTTTCAGATGTAATACAAGGAGTGAGAGTGAAGGGGTATTCAAGAAAATACTTCTCTAAAACCTGTAGCCTTAAATAATTGTTAAATAGGCATATGATACTCCTTTTGTGTATAGTATGAGAGAGGGGCTATAAAAGAGTAAAACCATCCCACCTTAAAAAAAAAAGTAATTTCAGTGCTTTTGACAAAGGGTTGTGTTGTAATCTCAGAAATGGAAGATGCAGTTAGGGTCTCAGCTGAAATATATGACCAACTCAGTGTGAAAGATTACTAGAAGGAAACACAGTTCAATAACTAGTAAAATGCATTCAGGACGCAAACAGAGAAATCAGATACTATCTGGAGTGAAAGGTCAGGAATGGATAGCAGATCTCCAAAAGAAAGGATAGCACTTTTCCATCTGTTGTAAAGCTGTGATCTCAGCTACTTAGATCTTGATGCTTCGTGAAAATTGGTTTTTGAGCTATTCTATTTTTATTTCTAAGGTTTCACTTTTATAGTCAGCAACCTAATTTAACTGGAAATAATCACTTTTTTATATTTTTACAATTAATAATGGACATATTGTTAGCTTTCTTTGCAACTCATACTTTTTCAAGTAAGTGAGTAGGCATGACATTTCCACCGTTAACAATTACTTCCATTACAGTAGCTGCATACAAATTTTTCTTGGTATAGAATCATTTTTGCGAGCAAAAATAAATTATGGGTGTAAAATTCTAAGTTGTTTTTTTCATCCATGCCTTTCCAAAAGACAATTTTTAGCTTAATTCTACTGGAGTTTAGGCTCACTTGATTATAAAGATTTTTCTTGAAAAACTTACATAAGTTGTAAAGATGATTTGATTTTTAGTAAATATTTATTTTTATAAAGAAGGAAATTCTGCTCAGAATCCATTGTTCAACAAAAAGAAATCCTCCTATCCTAAAAGTTGTTTTTCTATCCACTTGTTTTTATTTCCAACTGTTTGCATCATCCAAGTTAGATTGGGGGGGGAATCATGTATTATTTTTTGATTGACTTGTAGAAAAGTTAGAAAATCATTATTTAAAAGAATGCCACTGTGTATCCTATTTTAACAGTGTTTTCATTAGTTACTGCTACTTGATACTGTCAATTTTGGTGGTAAAAATTAATAACAGACTTTATGGTAAGCAATGAATGAATTACCATCTTCTTAAATATGTGAATGGAACCTTATTTGCTTGTAGGTTGCTTACTTGTTTGTTTTTATTATTTTTCCCTATGGCTCATTTTTATTATAGTAAAGAGGAAGCCAGAGATCACTTTTATGTTCCAGGATGAGATTGAAGATTTTTTAAGAAAACATTTACAAGATGCCCCTGAGGAGTTTATGTCTGAACTTGCCGAGTACTTAATAAAGTAAGTGTAAGAACATCTTTTCTGTTTTATGATAGAAATTTAGTGAGTTATTAAATAAAATTTTTATCAAGATCATAGAAAACATAATTTAAGTGTTTTCAAAACTTAGAATTTAACCTAGTCACCAAATGCCAGATTTTGTTTGCCTACAGAAGGAATTCAACAAACATTTAAGTGCTCTAGGCAAGGCAGTATGAGAAATACAAGGCAGGAGTGTGGAGGCAATTCTCACTTACTCATCTTACAGACCTAGTTGGGAGAAAAACACCAGCACCGATCATGGGCTGGTCTCTTCCATTGCACGAAAAGGAACGTTTGAAATGAAGGAAAGATCATCTTTACAGAGAGTTTACAGAGACTAAACTGAACTTTTAGGGAGAAAATTAAGTAACAAACTACCCTCAAAGAGGATAAATTTAGAAATTACTTTCTTGTAGATGAGCCAGGCTAAATTTACTTTTATACAGAAATTAAAAAAATTGTGTGTAACTTGACCATTGCTAACTAACATGGTTTTCTCTCAAAATAGTCTCTGTGTGTAAGCTTCTCTAAATGCAATCCAGGATCCTAGTGCATCTAACTTTCTGAATTTAGAAATACAGCTTTTTGTAATGAGTTTCTTTTTTAATTTAAGTGAACATCTTGTGCATGAACACGTTACATAATTATATTTTTCATATCTAAAAAGATGAAAGTTACTATTAATCATTTGCCATTACTTTTTAAAATAATCTATTCTGAGTTGTTGGGCAGAAAAAAATTTTTTTAAATACATTGTCTATTGAGTACTTTTGAAATTAAGAATGTAAATTTTTAATCCTGAGGATAGAGGTCAGATTTATAGTCTACTATTCTCCAGGGTAACTTTAAAAAGCCACTTTGAATTGAATTTGAACTGAAGCTTTTGTTATTGTTTTTTTATTTGCTTTAGTGCAGTAACCAAGTACTTAAAAACTGAGAAAAATAATTCATTTAAATTTTAATTTCTGGGATTTGAGGGAAACATCCTTGTGAACTATTCTCCAAATAAATCTTTCTGTTTAAAAAAAAAAAAGGTTTTTTAAAGCCTTATTTCCATAGAAGCAAAATTTCTTATCTGTGTAAACCTAGTACATTTTAATAATCTAAATATATTTATCTCACACACAGACCTCTAAATAAAACTTACCTTGAGGTGGTACGTTCGGTGTTCATGTCTTCAACTTCTGCCTCTGGAAGTGGCAGAAAGCGCACAATAAAGGACTTGCAAGAAGAGGTTTCAAACCTTTACAATAATATACGATTATTTGAAAAAGGGATGAAGTTCTTTACAGGTATTATACGTAATATTGTTTTCTCATTGGTCCTCATAGTTGTTTTTGGACATTTATTTTAGTAAAGCACCTTTATTTTCCAGATGATACCCAGGCTGCTCTTACCAAGCACTTGATGAAGACAGTGTGTACGGATATCACGAATCTCATTTTCAACTTCTTAGCTTCGGATTTAATGATGGCAGTAGACGATCCTGCAGCCATTACAAGTGAAGTAAGTCAGTGATTTTCTTGCCACTGTTGATGTGTTTTGATTTGAAATCTGAGCATGTTTTATTTTCTCACACCTAAGAGGAAACTAAAATTCAGGAAGGAGTTTTTAGGGAAAAATCTGTCAGATTTTTAGTTCAAGTTTAGTATAGTGTATATACAGTTGCTACCAGGATGGGTGATATAACCAGTCTATTAAAAGTAGTAATAAAGTAAGAAAACACTAGTCACTGTGTCTGGAAATGCCTGTAATAAAAAATCACAGCATGCATGCTTGGCCTTCTGCTTCCTATTATCATGTAGAAAGCAACAGGAGAACATTAGAATTAGCTCTAAAAATAAAGAAATAAATAAACCCAGTGGTCTACAGAATCTTTTTTTAGCTCAACAGATGACTCAGATTGCAAGGCCACATGGTGAAATTAAATCCAAAGTGTGAAGGTGACTATTTAAGGAGGTAGGATGGAGAGACAGGACAAATGAACTGACTCACTTTACACAGATCTTCAGAGAGAAGAGATGTCCATCATAGAAGCAGGAAATAAAGCAGCTGAAGTTTTAACAAATCCTTAAAGGTCTAGGCTTAGCACACCAGTTTAGAATTCCAGGAAGCACCCAGAACACAGGAGGAAAAAAAAAGTAATAATGCTTAATTACTTTGGAATCAACAATTTTAATTTCTCCTAATTATTATTGTGTTACATCCCTTTCTCCTGCTGAGTTACAAGTCCCTTATCAATGTTCTGACCAGATTCTGTAACTCTGCAGTCATTTTCATTTAGTGACACCATCTCATTTATTTAGGCTAATTCCAGTTCATTTTCTTAAATTCTAATCTCGAATTCAAAGCTTATTCTTGTCTTCTTTCAATGTAAGATGGAACTATGGCTCCCACTTGCCCAGAGGAGGAAGTATATGGTCTGTCCCTCGAACTCCTCCTCTCCTTCTTCCTCACCCTAGATCCACATAAGGTTGGAGATTTAGGGAAAATGAAAGAGGCACAAGTACATTCATGTGACTGACTGCATATCACTGGCATTGATCTGGGTCAAAGGAAATCAGTCTAATGCTTGTGGCCTCTCATGATGTGGCCATTGTCACATAGGTTGAGGGGGATGTTTTTAATATCATGTTACTCCCTCTCATAGCAAAGACTGTTTCTACGCCTCCAAACAGAGGTCCATTTATCTCTTCCTCTTACCCCATGAAGGTACTGTTCCCTATCCATTCTTCAGCTTGAGCAGTGATTCCCAACTGCTTGGACAGTTCATGTACCTGCCTGTGTGTCAGCCTCTGCTATGAGAAATACATGGGGTCCTGTCCTCTACCCTTCAAGGGCCACAGAAGGATTGGTGTAGCATAGAGCAGGAGTCAGTGGGTTGGTCCAGTCTTCCAAGACATACTGTAATTTTCAGGGCCTGCTGACCAAGCCATTCCAGTAAGGCTTCCAGAAATTTTGCACTAGGAAGAGCCATAAGACTCTGGTCAAGAATGCCACCAAACTTCACAAAACACATCTATGTGAAGAGAGGGTGCTGAAAACATTCCCCACACCAGACAATATAACAAGCATCCATCCATCCACGGCACAAATCCCCTCACTTACAGGCATCCATGATTTTTATGAGTGGAGGTCCCCTCAGCTGGCCTTAGGGAAAAACACTGTTCCCACCACAGTGAAAAAGAGAGGGAGCAGCCTCTTACCCCAAATCGTTTTTCTAGCAAGATGAATGGTGCGTGTTCTCTGTTTCTCTCTCATCTTCCTCTTATACTGCTGGAGCAGATGCAGGGAGGAGAGCTGCATCTGACCTCTGGCTGTTGACTAGCTGTCTGATTTTTAGAATGTTTTAGTATATTTCTAGCCCTAATTTGTGGTATAAAATTCAAGAACAAAGATAAATTCCATTCTGCATTCTGTTATAGTAGTAAATAAACATTTTTTGTTTTGTTTGTTTTATTTGAACTTATACTCACTACATGTCAAAGGCACAACCTCAAAGGAACTTTTTTTGCCTTATAGGTAAGAAAAAAAATTCTAAGTAAATTATCAGAAGAAACTAAAGTAGCTCTCACAAAACTCCATAGCTCTCTGAATGAAAAGGTAAGTAAAGTTTTATTCTGTTTAGATACTGGGTTAAAATTTGTGGTCTTTGAGTAGATTTTTATCAGAGTAATTGTAAACTAAATCTAAAATTAGTATCCTGCACTGAGACACCTCTTTTGGAGGTGAAGGAGGAGACCACGCTGGTGGCATTTAACCCTCTTTAGTCCTAAATCATAATTTCAAATTTTAATGGAAAAATGACCTTTTTAAAATGATAAAATTATAGAACAGAATTAAATGAACTGCTTTCCTGTAGGCAAACTGTTTATAAAAGTAAATCATGTTATTAAATACCTTTTTCAGAGCATAGAAGACTTCCTTTCTTGTCTGGATTCTGCAGCAGAAGCTTGTGATATTATGGTAAAAAGGGGAGACAAAAAAAGGGAAAGGTAACATTGAATTAATCTGTATTATTAATATTAATTCTTAGATGTGTGATATTTCTTGTCTGAAATTGGAATTTGACTATCTGAATCTTCATAGAGAACTGTTGTATCTAAGTAGCTGTAGACTTTTAAGCATAGTCAGTCTTCATTGTCCCTCTCTGACCCAAATGAGTAAGATAGCAGAGTTCCCTAATCCCACAGCTGATCAAGCATGGGAACTTCCTGTTAGCTTTAGGACCTTCTTCACAGAAGAGCTTATTTAAACCAGTGTACTTCTGTTTGGTCCCTAGTCCAAATAAAAATCGTACTTACTTTGAGTATCCCTGCCATATGTATAGGGGGTGTGTGTGTGTATAGTTTTTTTCTGTCATTTTCTAACATACTAGTTTTTCCATGCCATGTAGGGTTATATGTGTCTGTATTCCATATGTTTTAAAGATCCCTTAAAATGGAACTGGATAATTAAACTAGAGAAGCTAAAAATGAATACAGAAGGGAAGAACTGAAATTGATGAGAACTTGTTAAAATATGGTAATGTGTTTGTGTGATTTTGTTTAGGCAGATACTGTTCCAACATCGACAAGCCCTGGCTGAACAGCTGAAAGTCACAGAAGACCCTGCTCTTATTCTGCATCTCACATCGGTCCTGTTGTTTCAGTTCTCGACCCACAGCATGCTCCATGCTCCTGGAAGATGTGTCCCACAGATCATAGCTTTTCTGAGCAGTAAAATTCCAGAGGTATTACATTCTCAGTGCACTTGAAACTTCTAAAGCTTTCAGGTTTTGAATATTTTGAATCATTGTGAACACTAAGACACAAAACATATTAACATCATCTTCCTGCTTCCAAGAATGCAAGCAGGGAATGAGGAGGTTGACTTTATCACTATAGCTCAGGAATCTTTCAGGATCCTGTAAGATCCGTGGTAAAGAATATTCTGAATTTGGAATAATGTTCAGTCTTCCATTTCAGTTTATGCAGGTTAACCTGTCCTTTAAAAACCAGCTCAAAAAGTCTTATGCTTCACAAATTCTTCTGAGAAACTCCTCGGCTAAAAGTAATTTGGCTTCTTTGATCTTCCATATCACTTTGTATCTTTGGTGATAGAACCTAGCTCAGTCAACTTATATTAAAGTGATCTGTGTTCTTATTTTGTCCCCTCCAAATAATAAACTCCTTGAGAGCAAGGACCTTGCTAGATTCAGCTTTCTACATCTATGTCCTGTACTTTGTAAAGCTGAAAACCTTCAGTGTGTATTGGTTGAACAAATCCTACTTTGTTCCACAGAAAATTAAATCTGTTAACTTTTCTTCTTTCTGTTTTTCACAGGATCAGCATACTCTTTTGGTAAAGTATCAAGGTTTGGTTGTAAAGCATTTAGTGAGTCAAAGTAAAAAAACTGGGCAGGGAGAAGATCCCTTGAGTGATGAATTAGACAAAGAACAAGAAGATACCACCAGTACTACTCGTAAAGAGCTTCAAGAACTTTCTTCGTCCATTAAAGACCTTGTCCTTAAATCCAGGAAATCATCAATGACAGAAGAGTAATGATTTTAATTTACTTAGTGTTGTCATAGAGTAAACATTTTTTTCCCCAAAGATAAAGGTGAATGGTTACCAAAAAATACTCATTTCACAATCCCCAATAGGGCCTTCCATAGTCACAATTCAGTTAAAAACAGTAGTGTTGTATTCATTGTAAATGTTATAAAAATGTCAATTTTTGTAAATTGGGTTCTCCATGGAAGATTTCTTTTTCACATTGTAATTCTAAAAATTACACATTTCAGGTTTATTTTCTTTCTAGATGCTGAATGAAGAATAAATTTTCTGGTATCATTTTCTCTAGGAGAGGACTCACTTGTCATGTTACTGGATTTCAAGTGACATTATTATATTTACACATATTGGGGAGAAACTTAAAATGCAGTCATGTTTAAAAAAAAAAAAAACGTGTGTGGTGTCAAATGAAAATAGTGTATTTTATTTTAAAATTACTAGAGAATGCTTCAAACCTAAAGTACAGAAATTTGCTTTTTTGTTTGTTTGTTTTTTATTACTAAGCCCTTTTATTTCTGGCAGATAGAGGGCCTCCCATCTCCCCACCAGGAGTGAACTTTTATGTGGTTGGAGGCTTAAGGGATGCTTACAGGTGCAGAACACCAGAGGGGCCCAAGCATTGCTGTGCTCTAATCTGTAACAAGATGCTAACAAGAGTGAAAGACAAATATATAATTTACTACTGATAGATAAAAGTCACATTTTAGCATTGTAAATTAAAGATTTAATACAAATGGTTTCTTTTAACCCAGTTTGCATTTCTAAATTTCATTTTTTTATAGCACTTAATACTTTGTTGTAAGGGGATCTCCAAGTACATTTAAATTGCTGGAACTTTTTTTTTTAAAAAAATGGGAACCCTTATTAAAAACTAGGTATTCTTGTTTTATAAAGATTATTAGTAGTTAAAAATAACTGAAATAGTTCCTTAGAGTAATCATTTCAACCAAATGTGTTTCAAGCAACAATTTATTATATATCAAAAAAGAATTTATTTAAAATATAATAGGAAGTTAAATCTCAAATATTGAAAATTAGTATTTTGTATAATTCCTTATATGGCATTTAAAACTCTGTTTTAAAATGTTTGGATACAAAGATTGGTCTACCTCTAATTCTAAATAAAGTATTTATTGCTTGAAAGAAATTAATATAATTTGCTAAGCATTTTAATTAAAGTAGATAGAAATATAACAAATTTTAAAATATCTTCCATTGGTAATTTTCTATTAATGTATTTTCATAAGAGCAAAGGAAGAAAAATGACAAATGCTCTGTGACCACAAACTCCTATTATTTTTATTTGTTGATTCAGCTTCCAAAATATTGAACACCCTACCTAATTTTTTATTGTCTTTAAGGACCTTACCATTTATGTTTCAAGAGATACCAAAGTAATCCATGTTTGTATCCAAACTGGATCATAGACAGTGAAGCAAATAAAAGCATTCTTTCTTAATTTGTGAAAATAAAAATAGAAGAGATGAAGCAAATAAAGCCATTCTTATTTTGTTTGCATTAAATTTTTTCATTTATCAAAATGGTTATTTTTCCACAGTAAATAAGAGCAGTTTTTATTGTTTTTTGTAAATAAAATTATATAGCTGATTTTGTATGTAAAAATCTAATTTCATTAATAAAAATTGTTATCTTCTATGATAATGGACAGATTTAAGAATGTTATTTAAAATAAACTTGCCTGTTGTTTCTATTAAATATTATGGTACTTTGAAGCTTCCATTTTAATTACTAGGATTAATTAATACATATATAATATAGTTACAATTTAAAATTCTTATTCTGAACATTTTTAAAGGATTTTATTATATTTTTCTTACACAAAAATAGGTCCATAGTCCTCTGTGTCTTTCTTTCCTTGAAAGTTTGCTGTTCATGAACAATTTCACCTTAGTAAATCATTTTCCATTGGCTACATTTCAGCAAATGTGTAGCTAAACTCTCTTATCTATTATTCCTATCATTGCAGATAACAGTAGAGATAGTTTAACAATGTGCTCAGGTATTCATGTGTTCCATCTCCAGACCGTATGTTTTTGTAGGATGTAGAATGTAACCTGGATGTAGAACCATCTTGAACTTCTTAGAGAATGTACTTCAGTCAGATTGTGAAGCACCAAGGATGAGGTCAAAGTGATCTGAAGTATAGTGTGTCTATAGATTGAGAAGGAATGATTCATTCCTTCCTCCAAAATGCCACTTGACCCAGAGCTAAATGGAATTTCTTTCTATCAAGAACTAACTTATATGATTTGGGTAGAGGGTGGGGACAATGGAAGGTTTGCTTTCTTTGACTATTACTAGTGAAGCCTTTGCCCTAGTGTACATGGCAGGTGAAATAAAAACATTTATAAACTTCGGGATGTGTATTTTTCACAGAATCTGGGAGCCCTGTTAAAGTGGCTATTAAAATGGTCTACAGATTCACACAGGTTGCTCCATCCTGAAGGCCATACTCAGCAAACAAAAGAATAAAGAGAACCCAGGACTGCACAGCAGTCAGAGAAGAAAAAGAAGAGGAATCCAGATTAGAAAGGAAGAAGAAAAACTGCCACTGTTTGCAGATAGCATGATACTACATATAGAAAATCCTAAAAATGGTGACAGAAAACTACTAGAGCTCATCAGTGAATTCAGTAAAGTTGCAGGATACAAAAATCAATATACAGAAGTCCATGCCATTTCTCTACACTCACAATGAAGTACCAGAGAAATTAAGGAAACAATCCCATTTACCATTGCATCAAAAATAATAAAATACCTAGAAATAAACCCCACCTAAAGAGGTAAAAGATTTGTACTCTGAAAACTATAAGATGCTGATGAAAGAAATTGAAGACCATACACAGATGGAAAGATATACCATGTTCTTGGGTTGGAAGAATCAATATTGTTGAAATGACCATACTACCCAAGGCAATCCACAGGTTCAGTGCAATCCCTATCAAATTACCAATGGCATCTTTCACAACTGGAACAAAAAAAAATTTTAATTTGTATGGAAACATAGAAGACCCCAAATAGCCAAACAATGTTACAAAAGAAGAATGGGGATAGAGGAATCACACTCCCCGACTTCAGACTACTACAAAACTACAGTAATCAAAACAGTATGGTACTACCACAAACACACAATAGATCAATGGAACAGGATAGAAAACCCAGAAATAAACCCACACACTTATCAAGCTACAACAAAGGAGGCAAGAATATACAATGGAGAAAAGATACTCTCTTCAATAAGTGGCACTGGAAAAACTGGATAGCTACATGTAACAGGATGAAATTAGAACATTCTCTAACACCACATGCAAAAATACACAATGGATTAAAGACCTAAATGTAAGACTGGAAACCATAAATCTCCTAGAGGAAAACAGGCAGAACACTTACATAAACCACAGCAGTATTTTTTTGGATCTGTCTCCTAGAGTAATGGCAACAAAAGCAGAAATAAATAAATGGCACCTACTAAACTTAAAAGCTTTTGCACATCAAAGGAAACAAAACAAAAAGACAACCTAAGGACTGGGAGAAAATATTTGCAAACAATGCAACCAACTAGGGCTTAATTTCCAAAATACATAAATAGCGTATACAACTTAATATAAAAAAAAATCAAAAATTGGGGAGAAGACCTAAACAGACATTTCTCCAAAGAAGACGTACAGATGGCTAACAGGCACATGAAAAGGTGCTCAACATCACTAATATTAGAGAAAAGCAAATCAAAAGTACAATGAGGTACCACCTCACACCAGTCAGAATGGTCATCATTAAAATTACTGGAGAGGGTGTGGAGAAAAGGGAACCCTTCGACACTGTTGGTGGGACTGTAAATTAGTATAGCTACTATGGAGAACAGTATGGACATTCCTTCAAAACTAAAAATAGAGTTACCATATGAACCAGCAATCCCACACCTGGACATATACCCAGAAAATAGGAAAACACTAATTCAAAAGGATAAATGCACCCCAATGTTCATAGCAGCACTATTTAGAATAACCAAGACCAGGAAGCAACCTAAATATCCATCAACAGATGAATGGATAAAGAAGAAGTGGTGTGTATATTATACAGTGGAATATTACTCAGCCGTAAAAAATGAAATAATGCCATTTGCAGCAACATGGATAGACCTAGAGATTATCATACTAAATGAAGTAAGTCAGACAGAGAAAGTCAAATCATTTACATGCGGAACCTAAAAAAGTGATAAAATGAATTTATTTACAAGAGGAAAATATACTCACAGACATAGAAAACAAACCTATGATTACCAAAGGGGAAAGGAGAAGGGGATAAATTGGGAATTTGGAATTAACATATACACACTACTATAAGTAAACAACAAGGACCTACTGTATAGCATAGTGAACTATATTTAATAAATTGTAATAACCTATAATGGAAAAGAACCTGAAAAGAATATATACATACATAGACATATTAAATCCTGACTTTTGGGCCTTCAGAAACACAGTGTTTATTCCACTTACATCACACACAAAAAAAGGAACTACTTTAAACATGCATGAAATTGTTTTTATGTTCCCAGTGTTGTGTTTCATTTGTTTTATCAAGCTTGACTGTATTTCCACTTCTGGTCCTCTTCAGTGATTAGTAGTAAGACTTAACCAGGATGTGTGAAGAGCAGGAAGGAAGGGATTATTTTGGGGTATGATGGAAGAAAGGGAGGACATGGTGAATCTAAATCCTTGGCTCACAATCTCCTGGATCCTGTAAAACAGCTAAGTATAAAGAATATGATTGTAAATCTTAAAAACATGCTTTGCTTTCAAGGAGATGGCAAGAATCAACGATCATGGTTCAATAAAATGTTTTGAGAGAAGCAAGCAGAGGATGCTAGGAGAGAAGTCAAACTGTCTGCACAGCGGGGAGGGGAACTGAACAGCCTGGAGGTGATCCCCTGAACTGATTCCTGAAGGAAAAGCAGGACCAGCCTGGTATGGGTATTTCTGGGCAGAGGAAAGGAGATTCAGGAGTACCAAGATGAATTAATATGAAACAATGAGACATTTGGGAATCTCTAAAATATGAGAAATATGAAAAATGGTATGAGGAAGCAGTGTAAGATGAAACTGGAGAGACCAGAGGGGGAACGTGAAATGCCTTACACGCTAAGCTGAGAAGTGTAGCCATCCTCCTAAAAACAGGGGTAGTTTTAAAGATTAAATTAATCAGGGAAGTAAGGTGACTAGCTTTGTCTTTTAGAAAGATCATTCATTCTGAAAGGCAATTTGACAGTTTTCCAAAATTCTTTAAAATGTATGTGTTATTTGTGAAATCAATGTCTCCCCTTCTGAGCAGTAAAATGTGTGCAAATCTTTTTCCCAGCCTCTGGTAGAAGAGGTACATGGATGATGTGTCTCACACAGAAAGGAGGCTATCTTCTTGGTTCTGAAATATTTTTATTCAGATGCTAACCTGCTGAAGAAAAACCCTTTCTCTGATTAGTCAAGCTAAGACAAAATTCCCACTGGTTTTCACTTATGTTTCTTGTTATTCAATGTAAAGAAGGAAAAAGCACTTTATCAAATTGTTTTCCTACTGAACTTGTCCTTACCTAAAACGTCTATCATATAGACTTACAGGTTGGATAATTGCTTGAAGGCGTGACACACAGTTAGTACAGAATATATAGTTGTTTAAATAGTCTCTAGTAAATGTAAATAAAAAACTGAGAGGTCTATATTTTTCTCCTTCCCTCTTTCCCACCTTAAATCTAAGTCCTGTAATTCATACGTTATAAATGCTCAGGGCAAGTTTTGGTGTTGAAGAAAACAAATCAGAGAGAAGAGGAAGCACTGTTCCATCATACATTTCATTATATTGCAGCCATTATTCACACCCACTTTAAAAATATTTAATTGATTTGGAAAAATCATTCACAGTATATTAAGTAAAAAAGATATACTATATACAATGTGGTCTTGGTTTTCTAATTTAAATATATTTAACTATAGCTGTATCAACATCTACAAGAAAACATTTCCATATACACTTCTTTGTATAGCTATATGTATGCATACTAAATATATTTATTATGTTTATATAAATACCTAATATTCTAAAGAGATGTGGGTGAAGTTTTGAGTTGTGACTGTCTCTTTGCAAGTCATTATGAACTTAATTTTTTTCATTCTTATTCCAGACTTTCTGCAAGAGGCAGAAATTCAATAAACTGATATCTTTAAGTAAACATTGTTTCATAGTGATATAGAGAAATGATTGAAAGGGGTTCAGACTGAGGCAGATGCCAATTATTTTATGGCTGATAATAGTAATCCAAGTGAGAAAAGCTTGGGCCGGAATGCAGGGATAATGATGAATTTGAGAAATAGTTAACAAAATAGAACCAATAGAAGTTGAGGATGGGGATGTTGGAGAATAAGTGAGGAAGGGGAGGAGCCCAAGCAATAATGGGTTGGATGACGGGGCCATGCCCTGAGGTAGGAGATACAGCAGATTATCTGTATGATGGGAAGTGGGGAGAAGATGAAGATGTTTATTAAGGACTGCTGAGTTTGAGATGCCTGGAGACCTCTGGACAAAGATGGCCAACAGACAACAAGATACAGGTCTGGAACCTTAGAGAGTGATACTAGTTAAGAATACAGGTTTGGGAGTCATAATATATCACTGTTCATTGTTTACCTAAAGAACCCCAGGAGGGTGTAAAGAGACACATTCTGCACTGAGAATGAAGCTCTGGGGAAGGGTGAGGTGAATAAAGGAAGAGGAAGCTGAGGATGCTCAAAACTAGGAGCCAGGAGAAAATCAAGAGTGTGACAGTGAAACCAAAGGAAGAGGATTTCAAAAGAAAAATGGACAAGGGAGAGATAAGAAATTTCAGGTAAGATTAAAGACAGTACTCTTTGGGGTGCTAATTAAGATCGTTTATGAAATTAATGAAGCTCCAGTGGAGCAGTCTGAGGAAGGAGCAGAAGGATCAGAGGTTGGATCACTGGATGGAGATGATCCTCTCATGAAGCACAGGTGTAACAAAGAGGGTGATAGCTCCAAAACTAGATGGGGACCCAGCAACTTTATCTCCTAGACTCCACTTCTGCACCTATAAAAGGAGAAGAATGCCCATCTAGCCGCTGGGTCATGAGGATTAAAATCTATCACCAAGCGAACATACTTGCATACTTTTCACTGAATCAACTTGTTGCTGCTAATCATGCTTTCATTTTCATAATATCTTCATCATCAAAGTCAGGTGAATAACAACGCACAGGGCTGATGGGCTTTGTGCTTCCCCAGCTCAAGTTTATTGATTGTATATAACTGCATCTGACCTCAGAAAATATTAGCATACCATCCCTTTGGCACTTAGAACAAGGACAGCTCAAGTTTGGTCTGGGAATAAAGGGAATTAAGGCAGAGCATTTCTTCCCGCACCCACCTTTCCAGACTGAAGAAACGACCTCGAATGGAGAGCTTAAGAGCGAAGTCACAGTAAGGCTCGATAAGCATTTGTTATCAACATCATAATCTAAACAACAAATTTATACTGTACAGCACAGGGAACTATATTCAATATCTTGTAGTAACTTATGGTGAAAAAGAATATGAAAATGAATATATGTAAATTCCTGTATGACTGAAGCATTAGGCTGTACACCAGAAATTGACACAACATTGTAAACTGACTATACTTCAATAAAAATATTTTTTAAAAATCACTACCATCATTACCACACCAATGGAGATGTCTAGCAAAGAGTTTTTATAAAATTTGAAATTAATTTAAAAATAAATTTTTGTCAAGTTGAGATAGAATTACTATGTTATATTTGCAACAGTAATAAAATATATACAAAGTATTTCACAGCCTATGATTCTGCGAGGTTTCCAACTTGTAAAATATAGCAGTGGCTCCACTAGTAATTTGAAAATAAATTTCAGTACCTTAGAAAAAGGAAAATAAGGACAACTTTTCATTCTAAAACAAAATTAAAAAATATAAATAAATGAAAGAATGAATGAATAGATAGATAGATGATAGCAAATGTCACTTGCTTTACGAATCAGTTCGAACCACTGAGAATTCCTGTTGTGGATTAGTTCAATATTCAAACATTTCTTTAGCTCCAACTCTTGAAAGCTCTAGCCATGCGTGTGTGCTTAAATGAAGTCACACAGCCGCGGGCGTGACATAACAATCAGTGCCAGCTCACAGGGGAACAGGCAGCAGCGGGGATGCTTGGCCCACAGTGCAGGAGAAGGAAGCAGGCGCCTGTTTTGAGTTAATCTAGTCAAATCCAAGGCTCACAAATTTCCCAGGAAGGCAGTAATACAGGTCACAACCCGCCGTTCATCTCTCAAGCTACCCCAAATTCTGCAGGTGAGAACATGGGGCCTCATCTCTTTCCAGATAGTTCTGAGCTCTGTGTAGTTCAGCCATCCCTAACCTATGAGAGGGATTCTGCTTGTCACCGAAGGTAAAACAAAAAGCAGATTAATCAAGGAAACAGAAAACACATCATCCTTAACGGAATTTTTTAGAATTTAAATATGCCCTTACTTTAGCCTAGGCAGTGGAAATTTCTTCAGTGTGGATGTGAATGTCTGTATGGGCACTTCATATGTTTAACTTCCTGGAGATCATCCAGACATTTCAAATACCAATTCCGGCAGATTTCCCTTTAAGGGTATCCTGCAGGGAATTTGTTACTCATAATTTTAAATAAAAATTGACAAGGAGTGCTTTTCCTGCTCAGTAGGAGTCAGCTCTGTGCACGTCACAGGACTTGGAGGACACCCACACGCCCTCCTATTTTCTTCCACAAAGTTAAAAAAGCTGCAATTGGGAGGGACCCTCCGATAGCTTTGGTGGCCCATTCTGTTCCTGCTGGAGCTGACATATGAATGTCTTGGAGGAGGGGGGAATATCATCATATATTCTCCTTTCATACTGTTTAAAGCATTGGAAGAATCAGCTTTAAGAAAAAGTAAGTTTTGTTTCCTTTTCCTTTATGTTTCCTTTGCGCTTTTTATGTGGTATTTTTGTTTCTTTAATGTTTTAAGTACAAGAGATTCTTAGAAACTTTTGAGTGGCTGCTTAAGAGAAGACTTTTACTTGGCAAGTAGTATACATCTTTAAGTTTCTTAGAAAGTTTTTAAGAGTCATTTGAGCCAACAGTTATCAAATTTTATAAGCTGAGCTTCTCAGATTTCTCATTTGGATGCCATGTGTGTGGAGGCAACATAGTGACCAGGTAACTCTTTGGAGTTGCCTCATAAGTTCTGAAAATCGCTTTATACATTGGTGGCATAGTTTTATTGCATTCTTTTTTAAACAGGGTGATGGATTCGAGGTTTTATTTGGCTTAATTTATTTGAATGACTAACTTCATTGCTAAAGATATTTTATGATTGGATTTATATATTCAAAGGACAATTTGAAGTCATTTATAGATTTTAACTTAGTGAGATTCCTGCTGTTTCCCCCCACCCCAAAAAAAGAAAAGAAATCTGCCTATGTTCCATTAACAGGTATACAGACAATTCCTAACCTTAGGTTTCCTAAGATTGAATGACAATGCCTGTGTGTCTGGCCCACACAGATATATAATACACTACATGAATCTAAAGCATTGCTTCTTGAAACTGAGATTGTGTTGCGTAAGGAAAAGTATGTTTTCCTTATGTGTTTATGCTTTTTCCCTCACTATTTTAATCAGATCTTCTTTGGTGTCTGTCATCTATTTGAAAACCAAACGCAACTCCTCAGTTTGTCGATTTGGGTTTCAGAAATGTGGGAACTAACAAGAATCATTAATAAAATATGTAATTCTTATAAATAAGATGGGAGAAATTCCTCTTGTCATTTCAGCTGTCATTTCACAATCACAGTACTGTCGTGTAAAAATTCTAGCAAAATATATGGATTTTATTAGCAAAATATATGGATTAAAATTTAACACAAATATTGCAAACGTGTGTATCACACAAGATATTTCTTAACATGTTTGTTATGATATGTGCCTAAAGCCATAATCCGAATTGCTTGATGGGGGAAACTCTGATGTCTGTTTTCTACGCTGGTTCTGTTTATTCCCATATGTTATCATTAGCTGCCAATTCTGGGACGGTTCTACCTAAACAAGAGCAGCAGACTTATGTTTAATGTAACATCACCTTATTGACAAGCATACCTCTTATTCTTATTGTACTTGCCAAAAATATTTTGAGTAAAGCTGCATTAATTTGGGTTCCTCAGGCAAGCCTAGTCACTTTCTACTATAATACTGAAAATAAAATGTGTATCTAGAACACTTGAGGGAAGCTTTGTTTTTTGGATGTTTTAATATTTTCAGTCTAGGAAACCTCTTCAGAATTGAAAACCAAATACTTGGGTTCACATGTGAAGTTCTGAGTAAGATGTCAGCTATCAACCATACATTTCCATGTTCTTGTAATTATCTTTCTCCTGATTGTCATCGTTTTTCTTGGTTAACTTTTGGTTCCCTGGAAGGAGCTGTGAAGAGAAGGAAGGGGAGGAGGAGGAGGATTCCTTCCTGCCCTTCCACCTCAAATCCCTCCAAAATGATCAGCTTAAGCATTTATCTCTCTCCACACTAGACCACTCTGGGATCACAGATTCCCTTAAGAACCTGGTAGAATCACTGGACCCTCTTCTCAGGAAAAAAGCCCACTGCAAACAGATTTTTTCAATGACATTTCTAGGGTTGATAGATTCCTGAAACCTGTCCTTGAGTATTCTTAGGGGGTCCTGATTATGAACCTCTGTTCTCCATGAAGCCATAGACCTCAGCTTCGGACATACCCTAGGGTGGGTGGGTTCACCAAATCTTTAAGAGGCTTAGGTGAAGGTATGCCTAAACTATCTCTAAACTGTCCTCACCTGAGGACAAGTAAGGGTAAGGCCAGAATTTTAGCTGAAGATGATGTTTAAGGGTTAACTTTCAAAGAAGGTGCTTAGTTAATTTGTGGCCATACTTGTTCTGGGCAGTGTGTCCATGAAAATAAAAGCAGAAGACTGAGGCAGCAGAACAGTTCCTTCTGTGGAGAGTAAGGCTTAGAATGGAAAGATGGCAGGACTGAGGCTCTGGAGACCCCAGAATATGGAACAGGTGGTTGCAGTGGGGTTTTCCTGTCTCTCTGGCCATTCTCGGAATCCCCTTACTGACCTATTGGGAGGTTGGGATATTAAAGGGAAGATCTAAGCTAATGCCTGTTATCTCAAACCCGTCTCTAATCTTTCCTTCTTATGGGCTCCTCCAATTACCCATTTAAACATGCTCAAATTCCCCATCTTGAAAAGCCTCTCCTTCGTTACTGAGCTCCTCCAATTACCCTCATTCCTCAGCTTCATAGATCAGTCTCCTGAAAGTACTGTCTATACTCTGTTAAGAATCTCTACTTCCTTAGCCCCCACTTCTCAATCTATTGCAGTCTGGCTTTGGTCCTCATCAGCTTTCCCCAGCTCTCTCTGAGGTGATCAGTCACTAGTGTATTGTTAAATCCAACAGACATCTTTTATCCTCTATCTTCTTGGTGTCTTAGAAGCATTTTACCCTGTTCTCCACTTATCTGGAAACACTCTTTACCTAGGGCTTCCATGATAGCAAACTCCTAGTTTTCCTCCCACCTCTAAGACCACCATTCTCTGTCTGTCTCACAGATTCCTCTTCCTCTCCCCTATATCCTTGACTCCTTTTCTCTTTCTGAGCAATGCCATTGCTTCCTCATCATCTCTTTTATATGCTTATGAATCCAAAATATTTATCTCCAGCTAAGATATCTTTTCTGAGTTACAAACCTCTATGTCCAATTGTCTGCTGAATACAGGAGTGCCAGAGCAGACTCGGACTCCAGCAAATACAGTGAGGGAAGGGGAGGGACATCAGAGGCAAGCCAGGTAAAAATCTGGATACAGAATTTTCCCTGGGACCCCTTCCAAAATGTCCGAGTAATTTATGTGGTTTCTCTGCCCTCTTTGGTCCTGGCTGAACAGCTCTTCTTGGCTGTCCCACAGTCCTCTCAAATATTATTTTAATCTAAAAGTAAATTCTTCTTTTCCACCTCCTACTTTCCACTCTATTTCCCCCAAGTATACTCT